CAGGAACAAAGCCTTCAACTGAGTGAGGCCACGGAGCCAGGCCCCTCACACCTGCATCCAGCCTGCCAAAGCTGGCCATGCTGGGGGTGGAATAAAAGCCTGCGGACCCTACCTGCATGCAAATGGTGCATCTGCATTCAAATGGGATGCTTGGAAATGGAGCTATCTTTGCAGGCTGTGCCTCTGCTTTCTTCAGCTCAGATGGAGCCAGGGGACCCAAGATTCTGGTGGCAGCAGTGGGAGCTACCTGAGCAGCCATGATGCCCCCTCCCCAGCCAGCCAGCCAGCCCCACCTGACCTACTGCTCGCTTGGCTGGCCAGCTGGCTAGCACAAAGTCTCACTGCTCTTTTCCTCCTCCTCCTTGCTCAAGCAGCGGCGGTCTCTGAGGGACAACAGGGCCTCTGATTTCTCTTCTGATGTGGCTCATCAGGCTGGAATGCAGGTGTGAAAGTGCCTCCTCACTCAGTTAAAGTCTTCATTCCTCCCTTGAAACAGTAAAACCATCGTGGAATCGGAATTGGCCGGGCTCAGGAACCAATGCTGAGAAATGAGAGACCCTGTTGTCCCGCAGAGCCCGCTGCTGCTTGAGCAGGGAGGAGGACGAAAAGAAGAGTGGTGAGTCTGAGTCAGCTGGCAGGCCAGGTGAGGAGTAGATCAGACAGGGCTGGCTGGCTGGGGAGGAGAAATCATGGCTGCTCAGGTGGCTCACCCCTGCCACCAGCAGTTTGGGTGCCCTAGCTCCATCTGAGCTGAAGAAAGTGGAGGTGCAGCAGTGGGACTGGCCTCAAAGATAGCTCCATTTCCAAGTGTCCCATTTGCACGCAGACATGCCATTTGCATGCAGGTAGGGCCCACAGTACAAAGGTGTCTAACTCCTCCCCAAGCGTGATGAAGTCCAGCAGGCTGGATGAGGGTGTAAGGGGCCGGGCTCCACAGTGCCTCCTCATTCAGTTGAAGGCTTTGTTCCTGCATTCAAGCAGTAAGACCAGCCAGTGGTGGGATTGGAATAACTTAACAACCGGTTTTCTGGCTGGGTAGGCATGGCCGATGGGTCATGTGACTGGGTGGCTGACATCACTCATCACACCCAGCCCCACCTCCCAGTACTCGCCTCAGAGGCAGAGGTAGGATTCAATCAGTTGGGGCTAATCCCACCACTGGCTGCCCCTGCCCATTTTTCGGCCTGTTTTTGGCCGTTTTTAGGCCATTTCTGGCCATTTTAAGGCCATTTTCAGGCCGGTTTTTTTGGCTGTTTTGGAGCTGTTTTTTGGGTTGTTTTGGGGGCTGATATGGGGCCAGTTTTGGGACCATCTGAAAATAGCCCCAAAACAGTCAAAAAACAGGCCATAAAATGAACAGGGGCAGGGGCAGCCAGTGATGGATTTACCGGTTTGCCGAACTGTGCAGAACTTAACTACCAGTTCATATGAACTGGGTGGGCTCTGAGGCCTGCACACATGAGCAAGCAGCATGCCTGGGCCACAGATGGCGTTGTTTCCTGAGCCCTTCTGAAGCAACCCTCCCTGCTCCAACCACAGGGTGGATTGTTGAAGTAACTCTATCCATAGTGCATTTTAGTGGGCAGGTAGCATCCCTGCCATAGCGGCCACGGGAGGAGCAGGAGACTGGCACCATAAATACTTTTCACGTTGAGAATGAAACTTTCTAGGTTCCTGATTCTCTACAAGAGAGGATGGGTGCCTGAACCTGTGTGGCACTCAGGAGCATCCATTCTCAGCATGAAAAGCATTTCCAAACCAACTCTCCCCTCCGTCCCTCCAAGGCAAAGAAACAGCAGCAGAGAGGAGACAAATATTTGCAACGTAAGTGAGTCCGGTGTGACAGGAAGGGTGGGAGAAGCAGGAGGTACCTTAGTGGGTCAGAGAGGTCTTGAGGGCCTGCTCCATCACTAGCGCCCCCCCCCCCATGGCTTTCCCAATCCTGAGATACCTCATGTGCACTTAACAAAAGGTACATTAGATTAGCATTAGCAAATGTGTGTTATATTGGTATTCTTGAACTGTGAGTTCTTAGGAAAGTATCCCCTTCCTTGTGTGTTGCAAATAGCCATTTCCAGTGGAAAAAACAGGACAAAGCTAAGTGCAGCAAATATTTTCCTTTGCTATATTTCCAATTTGAATTGGACCATGGCAGGATTCCTGCAGGAGAGCCCATTTAAGGATTATGTATTAATAGAAAAGCAACTAACTTATTCAACTTATTGTTCCTTAATGCTAAACCTGTTGCACATAAAAAACAGAGGAGCTCTGATCAACTATCACAGCCACCATTTTGATAGTTTTGCTGTTCTGGAGGTCCCCCATGAAATGTAAGCATGGGATAAACTCAGCCTGGTTTGTTCTCAGTCTTTTAAGTGGCCACAAACTATTAGAAAAAGTGGCATTTGATCCCAAGGCGAGAAGACATTGAGAAATGTTTCACCTTTTGTATTTGAGCATCCAAGAAGGGACAGGGAAGGAGAAAGGGAAAGAGGAAAGACAAAGAAGGAAAGAGGGGAAGAGAGAAAGGAAGGAAAAAGAAGGTAAGAGGGGAAGGAAAAAGGAGAATGAAGAGGGAAGAAAAAAGAATGGGAAGGAAGGAAGGGATTTCCCCCCCCCCCCGGCATTCCCCGGCATGAGTGACGTCAAGCTGGCCATGCCCACCCCAGCCCCCCAAGGTCAATCACAACCCTAATGCGGCCCTTAACAAAATTAAGTTTGATATCCCTGATTTAGACTAGCATGTGGTATTAATACAGGTAATCCTTGACTTGCAACCAAAATTGAGCTCAAAGTTTCCATTGCTAAGTGAGACAGTTAAGTGAATTTTGCCAGTTATGGTATTGTGTTAGTAACTTAGTTGTTAAATGAATCGGATTTCCAAGTTGACTTTGCTTACCAGGTCACAAAGAGTGACCACATGACCCCAGAACACTGCAACTGTCATAAATATGAGTCAGGTGCCAAGTGTCTGATTTTTGATCACGTAACCATGGGGGTGGCTGCAAGAGTTCTAAGTGTGAACATCAATCATAAGTCACTTTTTTCAATGCCATTGTAACCGGTCACTAAATGAATAGTAAGTCGAGGACTACCTGTACTGAACAATACTACACCTTTGCAGTAAGTTATTCTCATCCTCAGCATAACCTACAATAGAGTTGTTATAGGCTTTCTCCAGTACGGCTGGAGTTAAGTAAGTCTGGTTTCCAACTTTCGATACTTTATTTATTTTTATTTTATTTATTTGTCAATTGTTTACGAGATAAGTAAAAGTATATACATAATTATGAATACATGAAATGAGTACATATAAGAAAAATAAAAGAAAAATAAAAGAAACAATAGGACAGGGACGGTAGGCACGTTGGTGCGCTTATGCACGCCCCCTACAGACCTCTTAGGAAAGGGGTGAGGTCAATAGTAGACAGTCTAAGGTTAAAGTTTTTGGGGTTTGGGGAAGAAACTATAGAGTCGGGTAGAGTATTCCAGACATTGACCACTCTGTTGCTAAAGTCGTATTTCCTGCAGTCAAGCTTGGTGCGGTTAACCTTGAGTTTGTATCTGTTGTGTGTTCTTGTGTTGTTATGGTTGAAGCTGAAGTATTCATTGACAGGTAGGACATTGCAATGTATGATTTTATATACCATGCTTAAATCAGACCGAAGACGGCGTAATTCAAGGTTTTCTAGTTCTAGAATTTCAAGTCTGGTGGCATAAGGTATTCTACAACGAGTAGAGGAGTGGAGAACTCTTCTTGTGAAATATTTCTGGACTTTCTCAATTGTGCTAATATCAGATACGTAATGTGGGTTCCAGACTGATGAGCTGTATTCGAGTATTGGTCTAGCAAATGTTTTGTATGCTCTAGTTAGTAGTGTGATATTACCAGAGAAAAAGCTACGTAAGATTAGGTTAATAACTCTTAATGCCTTTTTGGCTATGTAGTTGCAGTGGGCACTAGCACTTAGATCATTAGAGGTGAGTATTCCAAGGTCCTTTACAGAGCTTGGATCATCAACAAGATCTTGACTATTCAGCTTGTATTTTATTTTCGGATTTTTTTTGCCAATATGTAAGACAGAGCATTTATTTGTTGAGATTTGAAGTTGCCATTTGTTTGACCATTCTGATACACAGTCAAGATCTTCTTGAAGGGTAGCAGTATTGTCTGTGGTATTGAACAGCTTTACATCATCAGCGAAAAGAACGCAGTTGCTCTTAATATGATCACAGAGGTCATTTATGTAGAGTATGAAGAGAGTTGGTCCTAGAACTCTGCCTTGGGGGACACCACTATTGACAGGTACAGAATTTGATAGGACACTCCCAATTTTGACCATTTGTTGTCTGTTTGACAGGAATGCTTCTATCCAGTTATGCAGTTGTCCAGAGATACCATAGGATTTTATTTTTAGTAGTAGTTTGTCATGTACATACTTAATGAGTTACATGTACATACTTAATGAGTTACAGTATCAAAAAATTAAAACAATTCATTTTTTTATTCACAATGGGGGAAACTGGAGCGCATTGACATTCGAGTTTCATGGGAAACGGGATTTCTTTTTCCTCGTGATTTCAAAACGGAAACAAAACCAACGCCTTCATTTTTGAATTGTCAACAATTACTACTAGTCATTCCCCCGCACCCCCACCCCCCTTGGCTGCTACTAGCACAAGCAACTCGGCGTCAGCCATGACAGCGGAATAGCAAGTGCATGGCGGTATTGCAACGCAGCCACTGCTCTTTCGGAGTCAAAGGCCAAGGACGCGTCTTCCAATCCAAACCACGGTTAACGGGAGCCAAATCCTGCTCCATCTAGGCCAAGAAGAAGAAAAAAAATGACTTTGATCAATGCGTCCTATTTAACCGTAGTTTGGAAGATGTCAATCAAACCGAGAGCTCAAAAGCCCAAGGCTCGAAAAGCGTCCAGAGCCTTGAAGGAAAAGCCCGCCTTGTTTCGGGCTCCTCCTCACGTGACTCACCGGAACCACGTGGGTCCCAGTCAGCGGGGCCGGGCAAAAAGGAAGGCGCTCCGGCCGGTGCTGGGGGTGGGTAGGAGGGGGGAGATGGAGGCGCTGGCTGCGCCTAGCGTGGCTGCGTCTCTTCCATGCGCGCCCTTGACGCCGGAGGAATTGCCCGGGCAGCGGAATTCGCCGAGAGCAAAGCCGAAACTCGTCAGGTCAGGCGGGGCGGGAGGAAGCGCCGCCATAAAGTAGAGAGTGGAGAGCGGGGGGGAACATGCCCGGGAATCTGCACCGCGAGGAGGGAAGGGGCTGCGGGCGCCGTGGAGCTTTTTGGGGGTGTGGGTGTGGGTGGGTGGGGTGTCGCCTTAAATTTAAAGGGGCCGCGTAGGGCTACCACCCTTCCCGGGCCCGGAGCCACACATGCCGAGCTGCTTGTATTTAGGGGGAGCGGTCTCCGGAATAGACGTATCCTTCCGAGGTCGGCTTGTTGGGGAGGGCCCAGGTTGTTGGGGGCAATAGGTAAGCTGACTCTGTAAAACCGCTTAGAGAGGGCTGTGAAGCGGTATATAAGTCTAGTTGCTGTTGCTACCCCACCCCAGTCCACCCCCGGGAGACTTCCGAAAGGACGGGGACGCGACTCGGGATCTTCTGCCGCTGGCAAAAGTAGGGAGACTAGAAGTGGGGAGAAGGGGGAAACCGGGCTCAATTTGGAGGCAGAAAAGGAGGATTTCCTTGTCGAAGGTCCCCGGTTTCAATTGAATTGAATCAGAATAGAATTGGAAGGGACCTTAGAGGTCTTCTAGTCCAGCCCTGTGCTCAAGAAGGAGATCCTATACCGTTTCAGATAAGTAGACTCTTTCTAAGCAAGGTTGGGGAGCGAGGAAACCAGCCCTCCTCCTCCTTGAAAGCTTGCAGAGCTCTTGCTTAGGCATTGAGCAGCTCTACCGGTTCCTTCGAGTACGATTTGTGACTTCATGCAGACGTCCCACACTGTTTTCATGGCAACAAGACAAAAATGGCTTGTTACTTGTCCCTTTTGGGGAATAGCTTTAGCTTCCAAGTCCCGTTTAGGCCTCTGACATTTTCTGGTGGCTTCTGGTCTGAAGGACTAACTAAACTTCTCAGAGGCTTCTCAGAAAGCAGCAACTGAATGAGAAACTGCTGGTGACCTTCTACTACTACATCATAGAGAGCATTTTAACTTACTGCACCTCTGTATGGTTTGCCAATTGCCCAGTGGCAGACAGGAAAGCACTCCAGAGGGTTAATGTCATTACCCAGAAGATCATGGGTTGCCCTCGTCCCTTTTTGGAAGAGCTTTATAGCTCCCGCTGCCTTAAGAAAGTTCAAAACATTCTCAAAGATCCATCTCATCCTGAGAACCCTTTTTTTGAACTACTACCATCTGGCAGATGGTACAGAATAATAAAAACAAGGACAAATAGGCTGAAAAACAGCTTCTATCCCAGGGCAGTAGCTCTTTTGAATTCTACTGTATAGTGCAATGTTGGTGTGGTGTTATACCTCTGGTTCAATGTGTAAAGGGTGAAGGATGTGTGTTTGTGTTTATTTTCATGGTCATGGTCATGATGTGCACTGAAGACGGTGTTTGATTTTGTTGTATAAGGTGCAATGACAAAGTAAGCTAAAAAAAAACCCTAAAACTAAAAAATATCCTAATCTTGTCTAGTTTTTCAGAATTAACTAAGGTTAGCTCAGTAGCGTTAACCTAGCTGAAAGTGTAATTAATCCAGCTGAAATACTTTTGTTAGATTTGGTCCTGGGGTCAATAAAATAGAATGAGAGGGGTGAGAAAGAAGAGAAGAGAAAATAGAAACTAATAGAAAATAGAATAAGTCTGATTAGACACACAAGGAATTTGTCTCTGGTGCAGAAGCTCTCAGCTAACATGCAAAGCAACAAAGTAGTAAGAACCATAATAGTATCAAGAGGAAGTAATAAAGAAGCTAAGGAGGATAATAATACAGCCATACAACATGGCTACTAAAATACATATTTAGATATGACAGTATTGTGAGAATTAACTACCTGTGTCTAGTTGTATTTGTATTCAGTGCTCTGCAGCTGTGTTCCAAGGGGAGGAGTTGAAACATTTTATGCCCAGGATGTGAGGGGTCTGTAGCAGAGGTGGTATTCAGCAGGTTCTGACCACTTCTGGAGAACTGGTAGTAGAAATTTTGAGTAGTTTGGAAAACGATCAAATATCACCTCTGCCTGGAGATTTTACAGTATCCTTCCCCTGCCACGCCCACCAAACCACGCCCACAGAACCGGTAGTAAAAAAATTTGAATCCCTCCACTGGTCTGTAGATACTCAGCCCTTCTTCTGATTTGCACCATATACAGGTCTTCTAAGGAAGGAAGGCTGTCCGCTGGAGTCTGTAACTGTTTGGTTGCTGTACCAAATTAGACACTTTACAAAAATAAAAATGACAAACTCAATAATTCCTCTGTAGAACTGTATCAACAGCTCCTGGGACAGTCTGAACCTCTTGAGATGATTCAGGAAGAACATTCTTTGTTGTACCTTTTTAATGATGATCCTAATGTTAGCTGTCCATTTCAAATTGGACACAATTGGAAGATTATGGAACACAAAAACTTGAAGGATGTTACTACTGATATTTGTACTACTTACTTGCCTGATACAGTAAGAGGTAGTAGAATAGAAGGGCTCGTAAAATCCGCTCTCATCTCTACAATTTTAGACATATTAAGCTCCAGATTGTCCAGCTGTAACACAGGGTCAGTTGCTCAAATTCCTGTCTATATGCAGATTAATTGCTGTCTCAAATGAAACCAATGACTCTAGTATCATCTGCAAATATCAGTTGAGGGTGAATAGGCAATCTTCTTTGCATGTGAAACTTTCTTTTATTCTCTGTACAATATTCTTCCATGGCTGAATGCATTTTTCTCCCGAATTACCCAAATGTTTTAAAAATGTCAGAGCATCTTTTCATATATAGGTATAAGTGCCTCAGCAAGGTTGAGACCCATAAAACTTCCATTTTTTATGATTAAATCATAAAAAAATGTTTTAAATGTTTTACTCATAAACTAATTGATAGTTTTTGAAAAAAATGAAGTTGTCTTTAGAAAATGAAAGCATACCATGTCATACTGTACTTACAACCATTAGGAGCAATTGAATATGTTAAAAATAATGGATAAAAAGCTAAATAAGCAATGGATGAAGGAAAACCGTTGTTTCTTAGGGAAAGAGTTTTGTCCTTTCCCTGTGCCTGTGAAATTGCTTTTTGCAACTTGCTAGAGAAGAAGTACCACTAGATTTGAAATTTACTTTTAAATAAAGCTATTGTTAAAATGTAAACATTAATAGCATTCAAAGCAAATTTGAATTTTTGTCTAGGAAATGCGGTTTCTATTTGTGATGGGTCTTGCATAATTTCTAATGTTGATAACAAGGTCATCAATCTATCATAGTAGATACAGATAATGTGCCTTTCAGCTTTCTGAAGGAGAATGGATGGTTCAACATGTGACAAACAAATTAAGTTGTCCTTGTACATTACAGCTAATTTGCATTTTGTCTTATACTTCTGGGATCATATCCAAATGCAGCTAATATTTACGAAGCTAAATGAGAAATAAGATGACATTCCTTCCTATTTTCCCAATGTACATATTTGTATGAATAAAAAGTGTTATCACAGAAGCATACTTTACATTTTCTGGCTTCTAATCACTAAACACCATGAATGAAAAATAGAACAAGATATTTTCAAAAGAAAAATTAGTAATTTCTTAAATATTTTCATTTTCTTACATATTCCTAATTTATTTGTTGAACAGCTTGGAGGAACTTATTGCATCCAAACCAAACAAAACACCGATTCAGCTGTTGCTTGAATATGGCACAAAAGCTCACCTTAATCCTGAATATGAATTTGAAAAAGCCGAGGGAGAAGTACATATGCCCGTTTTCACCTATAAAGTCACCATAGGTGACATCTTTGCCACAGGTTTGTGAAAGTGTTGTAATGTATTAAAATGCATTTCTTTGATTCGTTGCACGTAGTATTTGTTTCTTTGAAAAAGAAAGAAGTGTTTCTTTTGTTTATTGCCTCCACATAACTGGTGGCTCCCAGTGAGTCCAAAATAACAGATGCCACTGAATTTCAACCATGGAATTGGCCTTGCTGGCTGGAATTAGTAAAAGGTGTGCTTTAGCAAAATTTAGAGAGCCACATGTTGTGCACCCATGAAAGAGAATGGTTCAGGATTAGGGTATCAAAATGGTGGGGAAGGGGAGGATGCTTCAATGTTTATATGATGTTTATATTGTATCGGTTTTGCTTAAAAAATATAAGGTTACCATTCTCTTTGTTCTTAAGGAAGCCGATAATATTTATATGGGGGGGTCAGGGAAATCGGGTAGACCATAAATTTAGAGATTTTGGAGATAGGAATTGGATTTAGAGAAAATATGTCAGTATGGAGGAAAGCATGGATCTCACAGCGTGGATATCTTTCCAAGGTCATGTCCCCCTAAAACTGTGAAAGGCAGACATTTTAAAATTTAACAGAGTTTGATTTGGAGCAGTGTTTCTCAACCTTGGCAATTTGAAGCTGAGTGGACTTCAACTCCCAGAACTCCCTAGCCAGCCGGCTAGGGAATTCTGGGAGTTGAAGTCCACAAGTTGCCAAGGTTGAGACACTGGTTTAAAGGATGAATCCTGTCCTACTTTCTCAAAGGTGCATCCCATCACCACTATCTTCCAGGCAGCAGCTAATGCTGTGCGATAGAGGGGCATTCTTCCCTCCCCTCATTTATTTCCTTCCATTGTCTCTTTTTTATTATATATATATATATATATATATATATATATATATTATTTTAAGACAAACATACACAGACAATACATTAAAAAAAATCTTCCATTTTGTACAGTGTGTCAGTTGGTTTAGAATCTTTTGTCCGATCCTTCCGATCCGTTCACAATTTTTATCAATCTCACATTGTCAAACTAACATGCTTATCTATTTATCAATTATTAATTATCTTGCTATTTATTCCATCATTACATTATGCTGTCATCCAATGGTTATATGTCTACATTATATTTTGTATCAGTCTATTGAACTTCTATAACAAAATTATCTATTCTGTTACCTTACCTTGTCTTTTTATCCAACCATTGATAAAACAAATCCCATCATATAAAATTGCTTTTCTTCTTGTTCTCTAATTTCAAATGTCTTTCCATTCTCTCAGTCCAAATATTCCTATTTTTTCCTCTTTCCATTCTGTCTCCTTTAATTCAATTTCAGAGCCCAAAGGGCCAAGGTTTTTTCCTGATATCCTCTTGTCCTTCCTTAATCACTTTAGATGTCACCTTAACACTGATAAAACACTATATAGATACAAATTCTGTATGTGGTGTTGTTTTTTTCCTGAGCCTTATTTATACTGCCAAATGTGATTGGCTATTTTGTTCCCCTGGGGAAAAAATAAATTGGCTATGTCGCTGTAGGATCAGGATAGTGAATTTACATTTTAATATTTTGAAAAATGAATTCATTTCAGTGCATGATGATTGCTGACTATAAGCGTCTCTATTTTATTTTCCCAGACAAAATAGTGACATATAGTAATTGTTTGAAATTCAGATGTTGGTATCTTTATTGTTACTCTGCTTTGAACAGAGAAATATTTTTGTTTCTACTGCTTCAGGAGAGGGTCCCAGCAAAAAGATTGCAAAACACAGAGCTGCTGAAGCTGCACTGAATATTTTGAAAAGCAATCCAAATATCTGGTGAGTTCAATGTTGAGCATTGTGACACAAACCCATTGAGCAAGCCGTTAGTCAATTCACCTGAATTAAAAGTGAGAATTGCCTATGGGGTCCATGGCTACCCCTATTTCACCCTCTCCATCCTGTTGATAGAAGAAGTTTATCAGGATGTCCTCACATTTTTATAAATAGTACTAGATATTCCTGAATAGGGAGGCTGGACAGTGTCACTTATTTTGAAAAAATATTGGAAGAAACAAAATATTATGCAATAGCATCTCACCTATCTCTGTTAGGGGTAAGATGATCCACTGAAATCTTTTCTGGTGTTTTAGATCTTGTTCATAATTTTTTGTCACGTTTATGACTCTTTATCTTTTGAAAAGTTGATGAATTTTCATGAAAATCTGATTAGGCATGAATAGATGGGAATTTCATAATCACTGTAAAATTTATTTTCATAATTAGTATTGCCTGAGACCTGTAGTAAGCAATTTATACTTTATCAAATATGCTTAGAAGATGATACCGGAGAATGAAAGGGAAAGAAAAAGGCATAGAAAGTTAAAGGTAATATTAAAGAGAATAGATATCCTTCCCCACCGACTTATGACTCCAACATTGCTTACTTCAGATCTACTTATTAAACAATGAAAAAGTGGGATAACAATTCATGTGAAAAGTCAGTACATTTGGCATTGTGTGCATAATAGTACCAGAAATAATTTCTAAAGTTTCCATTTTAAGTTTACTATGTTCATTTTAGTATTTCTATGCCAGACCATATAATCCCTGAACCTCTCAATCAAGCACAGAATCAGACCAATCCGATTGGATCGTTGCAAGTGAGTTATAATTACCTTAACACTAATTTGTTATGTATGATCAAGGAATTCTAAATTATGGTTACAAATCAGGATTACAACACTGGGGGGGGGGGGGGGGGGGGCTCCTTTTTATTTTCTGATAGCAGACTAATGCAGCTAGTCAGGAACAGGTTCCATGAATGAGGAAAGAGACTGTTCCCATCACTCTCAGGAAAGAAGGCAATATAAAGCGAAGTTGGTGGTAACAAAATAGGTGAAGAGCGGAAAAACATGAAACTACTGATACAGGTCGTCCTCAGTTTATGATCACAATTGGGACCAGTAAAGTTGGTTGTTAAGTGAGTCACGCCCAATTTGACCACCTTTTTTGCCATAGTTGTGAAGCGAATCACTCAAGTCGTTAAGCAAAATTAGTTTCCCCCATGGATTTTGCTTGTCAGAAATCATCTGGGAAGGTTGTAAATGATGATCTCATGACGTTGGCATGCTGCAACCATCATAAATACATTTCATTTCAATGTATGTTGATTAGTGTACATCTAAAGTGACACAATGAAGTTTTTATTCTATTCTGTTCTGTTCTGGTTGTCAAGTACCCAAATTTTGACCATGTCTATGGGGATGCTGGGATGGCCTAAGTGCAAGGATCAATTGTCAGGCATTTTTTAAGTGCCATTGTAACTTTGAATGGTTGCTAAGCAAATGGTTGTAAGTTGAGGACTACCATACATTAAAACAAAGTTTTTCTTCCAAAAACAGAAACAAAAAAGCTTTCCCTTTGAAGGATGATATAGAGACCTTTTCTTTGCCGATGGGTCTTCTGTAGAAACATAATAGAGCTGGAAGAAACCATGGAGGTCTTCTAGTCCAATCCCCTGCTCAAGCAGGAGACCCTATACCCATGATGGCACACAGAGCCATTTGTGCGGGCACACGAGCCCCAGCCAAACTTACCTGCACTGTGCATGCGTGTGCCTCCCAGCTGATTTTTGACCCATTTGAGGATGTTTTTGCCCTCCCGGGGGCTTGAAGGAAGCCTCCACAACCTTTGGAGGCCAAAAAACGGGCCTACCGAAAATGCCAAAACAGGCCCGTTTTTCGGCCTCCAAAGGCTGCAGAGGCTTCCCTCAAGCCCCCAGGAGGGCAAAAACGGCCTCAAATGGGCCAAAAATCAGCTGGGGGGTGCGCGAATGTGCGGTGTATGTAACGGGGGGCTTGTGCATGCATGCGTGGGGGGCAGGGTGCATTGCATTGTGGGTGCTGGCACGCACGCCCCCACGCTTTTTGCACACCACAACACATAGGTTCGCCATCACTGCCCTAGACCATTTCTTAGTAACTAAAAAAAAAATAATTCTTGGAATTCCTGATCAAGAGGTGAAGCACCAGTGAGAGAAAACTGGTTGTATTTGAGTGAGGATTGCAGAGCCCTGGTGTAGAGTGCTTCCCCAAATAACAGAGAAGTCTACTGTTTTAACCACTATGTTCAAAGTCAGTTAAACTGGGGTCTTTTTTCCCTGAATGCCATCACTGCTAAAGAAATAATTCCCTCAACATTGTCAAACTATTTACTAAGTCTGCATTACTTTTACTATTAATCCTCCCATCCTTCCTTTTACCCATCTCCTCCCACTTATGACTGTATGACCATAACTTGTTGCTTGTCTCCTTACAATTTATATTGACTGTTTCCTAGTATGATTTGATTGCTTATTGTACCCTATGACTATCATTAAGTGTAGTACCTTATGATTCTTGACTCTTGACAAATGTATCTTTTATGTACACTGAGAGCATAAACACCAAAACAAATTCCTTGTGTGTCCAATCACACTTGGCCAATAAAGTATTCTATTCTATTCTATTCTATTCTATTCTATTCTATTCTATTCTATTCTATTCTATTTCTATTCCTATTCCTATTCCTATTCCTATTCTATTGAACAGAGGATTTAGTGTAATTAATATTGTGATTGGTTTCCTGTGCTGGATGAGGAAACCTCTGAAGTGCAGGGATTTTTTTAAAAAAGGGTTTTCTTTGTGCTTTTTTCCCCCTTTCAAGGAACTGGCTATGAGAAAGGGTTGGAGATTACCTGAATATATACTGGCCCAGGAGACTGGGCCACCTCATAAGAGAGAGTTTGCAATGACTTGCAGAATCGAGACATTGATAGAAACAGGTACATAATTTTTCAAATGACTCGATTAAAAATGATGAAGAATGGATTGTTTCTATTGTTTCAAACTTTCTCACATTTATATAATTTTGCTTGATAAATGGCACTGTCAGATATTTCACTTGGAAGCCTGGTTATAAATGTTTTGAATTAAATGTACTTCTGGACACATAGCTGCACACACAATAAGTCAGGGAGAAATAGTGATTTTTTTTTTGAGACCTACCAGGACTTTTTTATGCATAACAATGCCTGGACACTGGAAAGACTAGGGTCCCTTGTGGAATATCCTAATTCATGATTATTATTATTTTTGCAAAGGTAGACATTTTTTTAAAAAAACTAGTATACCCCTGATCTATAGAATTACTTCTGTGTTTTTGCACCTTGATCAATTACATGTTTTGAAGCTGGAAGAAGAGGAAGGTAGGGAAGAATTGCAGGCACATATTTCCTATTATATGAAATGCCACTGAGTAGAGAAAGTACAAGTCTCCATATCTCCTCTTAGGTAGAGGAAATTTAATTGGTTTAATAATTAAAATTAGGGCACTTTTTAAAATTACATTGGTCACGCTTCAGTACAATAGAACATCAAAACACTGGTATATGCCCTCTGAACATTGTAAACTGAATTCTTTTTTTTTTTGGTCTCTTTTTCTTTTTTGTATTTTGAAAGGCTATTTGCCAGAAATATCTGGCCAGTAAAAACCAGCAATACAACGGCTGCTTGAAAAAAGTAATTTAAAATTATAGTATGTTGATGGAAGGAAGATTTCATAACACTCCTAGAGAGCTTTTATATTTAAGTCAGCAGTGCATGTCTTATTTTCCTGTCCCTTCTAATGTACTTAGTGCACAAAACTTATACACCTCCTCCTGTCTTCATGCAAGGACTAATCAGATAGACAAGGTACCTATGTTTTATTTCTATATATCCCACCAGAAATGATCAGGAATATAGCGAAGTTCTGCTTGATCACCATTGTTCTTAGCAGATATTGGAGCTTATTACCATTTTCGTGAGAGATTATGCACAGCAGTTTAACATTCTGTCATTAATTCGCTTTGCTGTTTTTTTTATATGGTGCAGCATATTACTGTTTTTAATTGGTCTTTGTCCATAAAATTTGAGTAGAAATTAGGATTTGATGTGATTTATCTATGTATTGGTACAATTCATCTGTTCAGAGTTGATTTCAAAATAGGGGCCTTTATCCTTGTTACTTTTTAATGGTTGAGTGGATGCAGTCAACTAAGTCTTTATATTTTATCAGTTGCACTTGCTGCTCCTTTTCCTGTAGAGACTTTATTTTCAAATTGCAACCAAGTGGTCAGCCTGCTGTGATAAGGCAGGTTCAAATGAAGCCTCAGCCAAGTTAGCGAGCCTGGTTCAAACAAAGCAAGCAGCATCTCTCTCTTCCTTATATTCTTCCACACTATTCTGCATTCTCATCCATGTAACGATTTGATCTATCAATACTGACAGTAGCTGGAAGGGATCTGAAAGGACAAGAGTTCGTGATTGATGCCTCTTGCTAAAGTTATTAAGTACCGACAAAATAGATACAAAGAGAATTTCAAATTTGTGGCTACAGAAAGGGATGAACATGCCCCAAATGTAAATCTATCTGGTTCTGGAATGTAATTGTTTAATGTAATCCAAAATAGTTATTTTGCCTATTTCAATAATTTTACCTTTTGTTCATTATCTAGGTATGGGAACATCTAAAAAATTAGCAAAGCGAAATGCTGCTGAGAAATTACTTGAAAAGTTCCAGAGTTTTTGTCAAGATAATATCACAATTTCTTTAGTAAGTAATTCATTAAATTTAATGGAAAGTACCTGCTTTACCATTGAACCTTATTAATATCTTCTTTGTTCCTAATCATCTTCATCTTCTGTCCCTATTTCTTATCTGTTCCTAATATGTATAATGATGACATTTTTATACAAAGTAGTTTGGGAATAACTTCCACTGATATCTATAATTTATTTCTGAGCGAGCAAGCATCGAGTTGAACCCTGCAGTTCCCTCCAAGCTAGGATTATTTGTAAATCAAGAGCAGGGATGTCAACTGGATTTCTTTGAGGGCCAGATCAGCAATGTAGTTCTTTTCTGTGGACCAGGGAGACGAAGGAGACGGAACGTCCACCTCCTGCAGCACTCTGCTGGCCAAAAATGGGGAGGGGGGCTGCGCCCCATTTTGGCCGGCAGAGGCACCATGGGCTTGGTCCTTTAATATTTCCAGGCTGGCAAAACGGACCAGATCTAAGTACCCCACGAGCTAGATCTAGCCCATGGGCCTTGAGTTTGCCACCCCTTATCAACAGGTGCAATTCTTTTCAGATGAAGGCTTCCTCCTGACTTTTGATTGGCAGGCCGAGGACTGCACTACCAGTGGTAGGCAGTGGTAGGACATAAAAAGAGGTAATGGGCAGGAAAATACATTGGATTAAAATAAATCAAACACAAGTAGTATAGCCGTTACCCTGTGCATTGCATAATTTTCTTATGTTTGTTACGACAATTTGGTGGCAATGTTTTGAGAGGATTGGAGGGATACAATCAAGTCTTCTGAGTTCTTTGAGTCATAGTCACTGGAACCCCATTATAAGCACTTGTGGGTCCTACTTTTTCCATTCTCTGACAGCTCCTTTCTTCGTTTGGCTTCACTACTCAAGAATTTTTTTATATGGGTGAATAGATGCAGTCAACAAAGTCTATATATCCTTCCAATAATTACTTAGGTAGCCAAATTATTACTCTGTATTAGCATTGAAGTCTCCCAGCTAATAAACATTGCCATAGACTAAATAAATGAATACTAATTATACTCACAGCTTCTTTTCATCTTCTCAACAGAGATGAGGGTTTTTATATCAATATTCTAATAAGCCTCACTTATCCATTTGGTATCCATGATGAATTGCATTACTATTTGGTAAAAATTACAATATATATTATTTTGACAGCAACAGAAGGCTCGATAAACTGCAGTTCTGTTCATGATCAAAAGTTCAAGAATGCTGTCCCTCTTGGCTACCTTCTTGAAGCACTGGAGAAAGCAATGTCTTCTCTTCAGGTGCTGGAAAAAAATGGCTGTTATCTTTACAATAGGTCTTCACCAGCACTACCTAGTCTGGTGGAAATGCTAATTAAAACACAACTGGTTTTCACTTTGTCCTGTTTGTTCTTTGTTGCTTTTCTGAAAATGTAAGAAGTTTTACTTTCAATATTTTAAGTTTTTTAAATAGAATGTTAATAATATCTAATCATATTATTTATTACTATATTGAGATTTGATTTGAAATAACACAGTGCACCATGATTTACAATATTACAATAAAAGGAAAAGAAATGGGAAAAGCCAACAACACCCCCCCCCCGCCCCATCTTTAGTGAGAATGGAACAAACCCAATTTTGGTGTCCAAAGTAATATTTTAGAAATACTATTATTTATTTTTTTTAAAAGGACATTCTGCCATGTCATAAATTGTATGAGAATGCTTATTTGCTTCAAAAATTGTAGTGTATTGGACAACTGTTTGAGAAATGTTAAAATCAAAATTCTGGATTTCTTTATCTCTCATTATCCCAGGAAAAACAAGTTTAAAACAATGGTGGAAATGCACATTTAAAGTAGAAACATCTTTAAAAAGATGTAGGAATTTTTCTTAAGATTATTTTTTATTAGATTTGTATCTTATTTTCACTTTAGCTGTATCTCAGGATTAGAAATGCAGAATGTTCACCCATTAGCAAAACTGTCTCATTCAGGAAACGGACTGTGAAAAAAGGCTATTAACTGTTCTAATGGGGGTAAGCATGGTTACATTTTAATGTGGATCCAGCGTGAATTGGCTCATTTGCAAGGAACTTTTAACCTATCATTACTACGGAATCCATGTACAATTTTCCCCAGGCTTAGCATCTTTTAAGTGGCCTGCCAGGGTCCCTATTACTGAAAGATAAGAGTCTGCAGCCAGGATTAAAGATCAATTGGATATTATTTACATATATAATACTATTGCTTTCTGTTCATAAATTCTATTTAAATGAGTAACATTATTTAGAAGTCTCTGGAGGCTGCAAGTCATTTCTCTTGTGTCAACATAGACACAATAAAAGGATTGGCACATGAATGAAAATTATAATTATATTCAATAATAGCTTTGTCTAAATTCTCAATAAAAGTAGCCTTGATATTTGGTTAAATTTATTTAAAGGCAAGTTCCTAAAACATAAGCCTTGAAATATCTGCAGTTTTTAGGAAAAATCCACCAAACCTATCAGTTTTAGTTTATCACCAAACTAAATAGGTGATTCCTCTGGTGTTGCTGCTACAGTTAACTTTCCTTGCACTGAATCAGCCTTTATTTTTCCACTTTCCCTCAATCTGCCATCAGCTGGAACTGATGATTAGTCCATAGTACCATGAGAAAACTGTAAGAACTGTTTGGATTGGCATCTTCTTAGAATTGTGCAGTGTTTTGAATTCAGTTCAGAAGGGGCACTACCAGGAATATGAATACAGCAGCACCTTTCACCACTCATTAAAACCGCACATCGGTCTCCAAGATCACATGCTGTGAAAACTTTCCATTATTAGCCTGATGATCCTAGAACATAATTTGGCTGTTTTAAAGAGTTACAGATAGGTGCTGTCATTGACTTCCATCTTTTCTAACTAAAACACAAAGCATTACATCATAGGTTCTCATCTCAAATAATAAGGATTTTAAAAGTATTGATTACATGACTAAATACCAAGCAATATTAAAATGTGCAGCAAAATCTAAACCCTGTTCATTTGTTTCAGGGAAAAGAACAAATGCATAATTTGGGATGTACCTGGGATAGCTTAAGGAACTCTTCTGGCGAAAAAATTACTATGTTGAAGATAAGCTCCCTCAGTATTCCCAATACAGACTATATTCAGCTCCTTGGAGAAATTGCAGAGGAGCAAGGCTTTAATATAAAATATTTGAACATAGGTAAGACCTGGTGAACTATGTAGCATGCCTCCTTCACTTTATATTTCCTCTCCCAACACTGCTAGGGCAGAAAAAGTAGTTCTAGGTGTTGTGTACTCGGAAATTATTTTTCAAAATTTGGCCTGAATACTTGTTCAAGCATGCCACAAGGAGAAAATTGGTTTCTATATTTTTAAAGGCCTCAAACACTGTTCTGTAGCTAGTTTGAAGAACGTTGCATTAGTTAATGCTGGAGTTCAAGAAGGTCATTGTGAGCAACGTGTATAGATAATAATGGGGTCTATCATTGCTAGCACAGGATAAAAAGGATTTGGAAACCTAGCCCATAAGCTCCAAGAACGAACCTCCATCCTCATAAAAAGAATAGTTTTTACATCAGTCATCAGAATAAAGCAACATCTCTTATGTCTTGGTGATCAGTTCAGAACATTTGGAAAGGAGAATTTAACAGTGTTTTGTTTGATAAAAGATGATGATTTTCTACTTATCACTGTTTGTGTCTGTAATTTCAGAGGAGTTGAGTGTGAATGGACAGTTCCAGAGCCTCGTAGAACTTTCGACCATTCCAATCATAGTTTGCCATGGGACTGGAATCTCCTGGAGCAACAGCCACAATGATTCAGCCCACAATGCATTACAGTATTTAAAAATAATGGCTGGGAGGAAATAACCTTGAAACAGGGAAAAAGAATGAACATGGGTACATATATATATTTCCAATTTCCAAATTATTGAGGCTTTTTTTAAAGTCACATCACAACCTCTGCATTCATAATTGTGTATTATAAAGAAAATGTAACTTAAACCTATTATGATGTTTTTGTTTATTTATTTTGGAAAGCTAAAATCAGGAAAACCAAAAGCCGTGAACAGGGCATGAGACATATACCCTGCAACTCTATAGCGTTTGATGAATCTGAATTCTCAGTACCGAAATAGTTATTAGTCTGTCAGCGGCTGTTCCCCCAAAGCAGCCTCAAATTCCATTGCCTCCTTTCTCAGTATTGTTTTGTACAGGGATGGGGCTTGAGGCAAACTTACAGAAGAGTGCAGTGTGTTGGGAGAAGGAATATGTTTAAGAATGCTGTGCATTGGGAGCAGGAAGTCCAGCTCATTCTTCTGTTTATTTCTTACAGCATTAATATATTGCCTTATGAAACTGACTAGGTATCTCACAGTGAAACCACAAAGCAAAACACAAACCATAAGTTCATCATAGTTTCATAACATCTTATTAAAAGTAGATTAAAATTGAAAAATCCAACTCTGCATAAATCTGCTAGTTTCTTAAAAAATCAGATTCACATCCATATCCATAAGGCAACCCAGCATGTAAATAATTCAATCCCCCCCCCCCAAGCCCAGTGAAACAAAACAACTTCAGGGTTCACCCGAAGAACAGTGGTGTGATCCTCCAGACTCCATTAGAAGATATCACCAAGCAAGGCCTGCCTCTTATCATTCCCTAGCACCCCATAACAGGCAAATTGGGACACCAACTGCCATTTCAATCAGCTGACATTTCTATTATTCCAAACCTACTGTACAGCCAAATTCAAATATCCAGCCTTCCCCCAATTTGACTCCCTTACAATCAGGAAGGGAAACTGTTCCCTATCCCATGGCTTATATATATGATGAACTCACTGAAGCATCAAGTAGTCACAGGCAAGCCCTTCACTGCCCTTATGATAGTCATTGTCAGAGACAGACTATAGTAAGAGATGACCTTGGAGAAAGAATGTGACCATTAGTAGAAAGTGAGATCAATCCAGGAAAATAAAGTGTGACAGAGTCTGAAGAGTTTGATTTTGACAGTCTTGGAATAAGGGGGGGGGGGGGAGGAAAAACACTGCCAGGTTTCAAATTTTTGTTATTCCAGTATAATCTACAGCAGCAGAGTTTTAGTATTTCTTTTGGGGGGCTTTCCTGACTTGGCCTACCTTGAAGGGCTGACAAGAGAGTTGTAGCTGCTCTCTTCCCAGGCTGCAGTTTCTTCAAGCAGCTGATACCCTCCTTCCCTTTCACTGAAACTGACAGTAGTGCCAAACGAGCCCCTTACTGAATTTGTTAAGTCTCCCACTGTAGTCCTGCTTCCACATGCTATTCTGGGTCTGCATGGCAGCAGATAAGTTGTAATGTGTTATAGCGACAAAGAAGGTGATAATAGTAATAATGTGCATCAACTGGAATTAAGGTGTCACATTGATAGTGTCTTGCCATTTTCAGCATTCCCTCTTCTAGCCCTTTCCTTCCCCCAGTTCACACGTTCTGCCTTCTACTTTCTACACTTCTTTTGTATCTGTCACTTGATGTTCCACACAATTGAGTTTCACCAGCTTTCCCAATTCTCTGCTTTTCCATTCTGTTTGATTTACAAATACCTCCAATCACATCTCATTCCTCAACTCCTCAGGAACTCCCAGGATGAAAAACACCCATACCAAAAAAGATCCTTCCTCCAAAATGCCAAATATAAATCACTAGCTTGCAAAAATTGCCCAGCAGAATGGTAATATTTACCAATCACATTGAGCATTGTTCATCTATTCACTCATACACTTCATATATGCACCCGTTTTGCCTTACAGCAAACACGTGGGATAATGTACACTAGCTCAAAACCACACAATGAATTTCGATGACTAAGGGTGGACCTGAATCCAAATCTCCTGAGTCCAGGTTTAGCACCCTAATCGCTGTATTATTGTCTTGTATGTCAATTTAGCTTTAACTCTTGTCATTCACGGAAATAATAAAAGTGATTTTAAAGATTTGCAGTGAAGTAGAAAATCTTGTTTCCATTCATTCTTTGTGATAGGCTTACAGGCCAGGTGAGGAACCGTCATAATTTGTGTTTGGTGGTTGGGTTGCAGATTGGTCATGTCTCCTATTATACAGTTAAAGCAGTACACTAGATTACAATCACATTACATGGAAAAAAGAGCAACATGAATTATGACCTAAAGATATATTTTACAGGATATTATGAAAAATTACCAACTTTTTTTAAAAATAATTGCATATTTCAGTAGCCAGGAGCATGGCTTCTGCACTTAACTCCCTTGAAGTTGCTTATGTAGGTTGGCATTTCTTTTAAGACTTCATGAACTTACGTCTCACTTGAACTTATGTAGCAGAAGGCTGAAGTTTAGTCTCTATGAAAATGCTGGGACCTGAACAATTTGTTTTTCTAATGTCTGAAGCTTCAAAGAAATGACTATTGTAATTGTACATAATAGCCATTACATATTCACTTTTTTGTGTTTAAATTTCTTCTCAATTGTGGCCTTTTAAAACATGTTTTGAAGATTAATTTCACAGAAATGATAAAATTTGTTATCATTGTTCTTTTTTCATTAGATGTGTCATTCTTTAATAAATTGTTTTAAATGATACAAGTTGTTTTTGTTTGAGAAAAATACTCCATTGTTTCCTAAATATGTCCAATTAATAATGCAAGTAGAGCCATAATTTACATTGAATGTGCCTTGTTCAATACTAGATATGAATGCAGCTTGTAAACTTATTTGTTGGGATTTTCAAAGTATTAATTGGTAGAATTCAGTACAATCAACGGCAAGCATAATACAGTATGTCTTACTGAGTTTGTAAGTCACAAATATGTGCCATATCAATCATATTGAACGTAAATGAATATTTTCTAGTGTGAAAGAAAGAGATGCCTATAAGGTCAAAATGAAATTGATCTGCTCACATAATAAATATGGTTCATTTTTAAGGAAATGAGGATGATTTTAAGTGTCATTCTTAAATGTCTTATAATAGTAGGAAGTGCAACATTTTACCCAGCAAATACAAACAATGGAAATGTGCCATTGCTACCAGTGATAAGAGAAAGGTTGTGTTCCACTTAAACTATTTATGTAAGCCAACAAATGAGATTTTGTTTGCAGCAGCATAGAAATGCTGTATGTTTTAAAGTGTGAATATCTATAATCCTCTGCTTGTGATATACAATGTGATCTGAGCTTCATCTAATCCTAAGAATGGATAAAACTGATTCTGGCTAAATAACTCCCCAAGCTTTGTCATTTTTTTAGGATGTTTGTTTAACCAGAACTGATTTAAGACTTGTTCCAATCACATTGTAAGACACGGTGTTACAAAATTATAGATGGCTATAAAGTGTTCACAAATTTGCTTAGCAAGGCAAATGTGTTTGCTGTTCTCTAAAATACCTGAACAGGCAACAGTATTTAATTCCCAATCATTGAATACTATCAACATACTGTTCCACAATGAAATGGGAGAATCTTTAGAAAAAGTACAACTGGTCAGGCAGCTTTTTAATATCAACTGTTCCTTCTAGTACAGTAACTGGTTTACATAAACTATTTCATCTTTGAAAATTAGCCATATTTTTAATCAACTGCCTGAGTGAATTCTTTGCAGCATCCCAACAGGTTAAATAAACATAGGCTCTAAAATCCCAACCGTATTATTATTTCCTTTGATCAAGTTGATGAAACTTAATTTGCTTTGTGTGAAAATTCTATAAATCACTGGTTATCACATGCTTCAGCATGCATTTATATATTTCAAAGTTTGTCCCCAGCTCCCAAGGAACTGGATACTGTATATTCCCAAACACATTTAATATAAATACAGATTTTACAATTGCAGAAAGAAACATGGTGCATTTTTTGATGCTATATATGCTGTCTTTTGTGCACAGTTAAAAACAAATTAGCTAATTGTAACAGTATTTTTAATCTTTCAAATCTACAATGCTTTAAGGATATACAAAATATTGTTCTTGTGGCTTCCATTCTTACATTTTTTGGCTCCAAAGAGGTACAAGTTTTGTGTGGAATATGAGCCTAACATTATATTCATCAATTTCCAAGTATTTCTGAGGAATTAGCAAGCAGATTGACACTTAATAGGCTAGTCTATTAGAAACAATGGTCTTTTTATTCAATGACATTTTTTATAAAGGTGTACATGAGTTTTCATATTCAAGACTGAGGATAAAGACCACAGAGTTCTGCAAAATGATCCTGTGCAAGTATCACAATGTTCAATCTTCGTATTTAGCTTCAACATTGGGTAGTGGGATAAAGACAATATTGAGTTTGGGTTGCTGAAAATAAGATTCAAATCTCTGTTCAGTCATAGGGTTCACTGCAGAAGTTTGGAATCACTGCAATCTTTAGTCTAAGATTGCAGTCCAATTGCAACACTTAGAAATATTTTCTGAAACATCCAAGTGCCTTAAAAGTGCTGTGTGTTTATGGAGGCTAATTTTCTCACAAATGATACTTTTGTCTGCATGCTATTTATCTGAAGACGCACACTTCTGATTAGTTAATAGTATAATATGGTGAGTCAAAGAAGGAAGTGGCGAAAATATATTTTGTCTTAGGAAATACTTTTGAAAATGAGTGGTGGGTTGTTGATACTTTAGGTCCCTAAACTTTCTTCCTAATACCAATCACTTCTTTAAATTACAGAAGACAACAGAGCAAAGCCATGATTTTATGGCACTAGAGTGGTGTAATTAAGGTCTAATTCCATTGCTTTCAACATTTTCAAAATTTCTAATTGATACTTACTGCTGCTGCTTTCAACTGCAGTCTATTATTTGCCACACCAACTCGCCATGACCAACTCACCATGGCCAATTTGTCATGGCTGTGGGACAACTCGTTGCAGCTAACTCATTGCGGGAGAAGAGCTACACTAATACCAAAGGAATGGTGGAACAGAATAATTAAAGGATGAAAAAGGGTCAGAATGAAACATCAATGACAAAAATTAAAATATTTTTTAAATTTATTTCAAATAATTGAAATGTTAAACTGCCCCACAGTGAGGTGTCTTGTGACGAGTTGGCCGTGACAAGTTGCCCCATGGCAAATTGGCCGCATCAAGTTGGCTGTGGCGGAGTTATCCCATTTCACGCTAGATATGTCAGATCACAATATTATTATCTTGTACCAACATTATGCAGCCTGAATGGCTATAACTAGAGACAATTTGAGGGAGACTTGATAAATCTACTGGATTATCTTTAAGGGGAAAAAAGCAATTGATAAATCATGTCATAACACTGTTTCTTATTTGAATACCTATAATTTCAAAAAATATATGGAGCTCAATATTGTCTTTTAAAAATCCTGATAAATTAAGTAAGTCACAAAAAGAACTTTACAATATATATTATTTTATAGGGGAGCATTAATTTGGATGAAAATTTAATCCTGGGCATGGGCAAAAGTCACATTCTGTTGAAATAGGAAAACACTTATTCATAATACATTGCTTGCATTAAAATTATTATATATTACAGAATTCCCGGTTGCAAAATTGGCACCATTCCAATCTCAGAAACACAGAGATGGCTGAGAAATTTTACTGAAATCTCATAGGGTTGACTTGGTAGACAGAATGTGGTTATTGTTCATTCTAATTGTATGTAGCATTAGCCCAGAACCAAAGTTCCTTTGGGCAACCACAATAATTATTTGTGAGCTGTGAAATACTTGGGAAGCCTGCAAAACATCATTTGATTTGATCAAGGACTGCACCTAAGTGTCCCTCCAAACCCTGACTTTATTTTCTACTGAACATCCTTTTTGGAACTGTTATATCTAAAGAGAAAAGCAGAGGAGAAGTAACAACAGTTAATAATGATAGTTCTGTGATAATTATTCAAGTATGTTTTGAGCCAATGTGCCCAAGTCTACATTCAGCCAATGCTGAGACTACATGCTAAGACTCAGCAGTGCATAGCAGAGATAGGGATGGGAGTGATTCCAGTTACACAACTGGGTATCTCGGTCTGCTTCTGGACTCTAAAAAGCCTCATTCTTATCTGTTCCCAATCTACAAAGAATTCCCGAAATTTGCCATTATAATATGGATACTTTCAGAGGAATCATTGATTGGGACGGCTGGGAGGATAGATTGAGGGGAGAGAAGGCTTACAAAAAGCAAAGCATATCAGGTAAGTCAGAATGGGCACTTGATTGTGACATAGCTTGATGCAGAAACTTCCAATGAGTAAGAAGTATTTTAAATGGAAGCATATCACATAAATTAGATGTTCTTGAGATTTCCTGAAGCTTGTTTGAAACAGAAGGATCGGTTAGAGAAGAGCTCCATTTTTCAATCTGGAAATTTAATAAAGAAAAATTTCCATCACATGAGTTCAATCCTTTGCAGAAATTCACATTCACATTCATCTTCTTAAGTTAATTCTACAATTTTTATTTTTAAATGAATATTTTATCTGATTTAAATGAACTCTGGCTAACAGGGTTTTTTTTCTTTTTGGAAGTTATTTCTTTTTAAGTTTTTCAAAATGGATAATTTACCTATTACCGCTAACTATCAAATTTTATAGGTTTAGATGAAATAAGTATAATGTATGCAGATGTGTGATGAATGAATGAACTAGTGTGATGAGTTTGCTGACGCTGTTGACATGAATTTATGGTAGGACTATACTGTCAATTATAGCTAAATATGACATACTTGCTCCAGATTTAATTTGGAAACTTACAAAAGCACATTTTTAAATAAATGCTACAGTGAAATGATTTCAAGAATATCCAGATTTTTAAGAAAAAAATTCAAACTAGAGGTCTCAATGAGTTTCTTTATCCCCAAAGTAGTTTAGACTCTTATACCTCACAGTGTCCTGCATTGAAAACTAAGAGAACCACTAAAGCAATCTTGCAAGACAATTTGCAAGATTTACAAGGCAGTCTCTAGATTAGAGTTCTGTCTTGCATAGAATAATATGAATATGCTTGGAATAAACCTGGGTTTTGTTGCATTTGTTGTATCTTTGGTCAAAATGGGCCCAAACTGCCTAGTCTTCCCCTCATCATTGGCAGCTACTGTTTCACATCTAAAACTAGTAACCTAATTTACATTTTAACTACCTTACTAAAAAGTGTGGTGTGAAACCTTTGCTTGACCCAAGCCATCATGGGCAGTAGAGATCAGTACTGGTGACACAGTGGTTAGAATGCAGTACTGCAGGCTACTTCTGCTGACTGCTGGCTGCCAGCAGATCAGCACTTCAATTCTCAATGGCTCAAGTTTGATTCAGCCTTCCATCCTTCAAAGGTCAATAAAACGAGGAACCACATTGTTGGTGGCAATATGCTGACTCTGTAAACCACTTAGAGAGGTCTGTAAAGCACTGTGAAGCGCTGTATAAGTCTAATTGCTATTGCTATGAGCCCAACTGGTGTTCATTATGGCATATGAAAGAGAACAAATGGTAAAGAGCATTAATTAACAAATGAAATAAAAAACAATTTTATGTCCCTGAAAGGTGAAGGATGTAACAACTAGTCTGATCTTAGAGAATGGAATTGATGAAAACATGTATGGAAGTGAAAGTGAGGTTTAATTATGAAGGAAAGGGCTACAATATTAATTAGAAACTAACGTTATCTAGTTTGTTGAAGATGCATATGAATATAGGAATTCATAAGCTGATGAGAATTGCATCAGGGATAAATTTTGAGATAAAATGGGCAATATTCTGAAAAATTCAATCTGGGTGGGGGGAGATTACTGTTAAAAGATATCAGCGAACAGAAAGAAGACAAGAGTACAGAAAACATGAGTAGGCCACATGGAAAATGAATAAAAAGCATAACTTTACCAGTATAAGTCTCTTATTCTTCACACATTAAGTATGGTTCACTTGATTTTTTTAAATGAAAAACTGAATTATTGAAGGTACAAGAGTGAAAAGTTCAGAAGTTAGTTGCCAAATCATTGCTGGTAGTCTCAAAAATGGATCTTAAGAAAAAAAAATTAGACATGGAAGAAATGAAAAAAATAATAGAGAAAATGTGCCCTGTATAGGTAAAACTGAAAACAAAGAAATCTCCCAATAATCTAAACAGAGAGTAGACTTGGGAAAAAAAGTATGTGTAAGCTAACTTAAAATAGTGGAAAAAATTATTTTACAGAATGTCACTCAGGCTTGTGGACATATACTAAAGGGAAGTACTAAAGTACTAAAAATGAATTAACTCCAAAGTCAGTAAATGAGCAATACACAGGCAAGAGAATCGTGATGAGTAAAATATATAATATACATGTAGAGAAAAAATTGCAAAGAATGCAGTCAAAGACAACAGGGAACTGTTTAAACACAGGAAAGAAAATGCAGAGCAATTGGGATGGAAACAAATAATTGTTAAATAACTATCAACATATCTGTAGAACGAATTAGGACTGATAGGCAGTGATCTCTAGAGAACGAATGAAGACCGAACTGTAAAACCAACATATGAACGAAAAGTAAATGGATTCAGATGAAGTGGATAATGAAGGAAAAGCATGATTGAATGAGCTAATAAAACTCTCAAGAACTTATAGGTGAGAAGATTTAGAAACAAAGGCAACCTCTGAAATGGAGTACCAATGTGTTCAAAGCAAGGATAGAAAAGGAAAGTTATAGTGAATTTTATGGGTATAAATGTAGCTATCTTCATATGCTCCTAATTTCATGTCTTATCATTTGCTTACTAATTCTCATTCCTTTTTCACATTTTGCATTCACCTGAAAAGAAATGACTTGGACATACAGATGAATTACAATTGTCCCAAAGGGGAAAAGCTGTAGTCCCGTAGATTTAAATCAAACTTGTTACATGAACACAAGTAAGCATTTGAAGTTTAGTCACTTAGTTTAATGGCTGGATTCACAGAACAGGCTCAGGTGGCTAGCTAAATGGACTGATTATCCAGGTATGTACAATATAGAGAGCCATTTTGATCTGGTGGGTTAAGGCACCAGAAAGCAGGACACTGTAAATTCTAGTCCTGCCTTAGCCATAAAGCTAGTTGGGTGACCTTCAATGAATCGCTCTCTCACAGGTCAATCCACCTCAGTTTGTTTGTGGGAAAAATAGTAGGAGGAAGATATGTGGGATGTTTTTACTGCCTTGAGTTATTTGTAAAAATAATAAAGGTGGGATAGAAATAAATAATAAATTTTAAAAAGTTATAAATTAACCAAATGGCCTACCTTCAAATAACATGCTAGTCAAGCTTAAAACTAATCAACTTTATGTTATTTGGGGGCAGCATATTATGTCAAAGTTAGGTTGATTTATAACTGACCTTGGTAAGCATCTGATCTCGACATTTTACTAAATCATAATATTTGTTAATATTTATAATGTTTTAATTAATAATTCAGGCTTTGAAGAGACAATAACAAATTCCTGGGAGGTTACTGAAGACTGAATGTAAAAGACAGAATGGTAAGACATTCTTTCTTCCTATTTTTACCAAGATTGACTAAACTATAACTTGTAAGGATTACTACATTAACAAAATCCCCAATGTGACAGTGGCATGCCGGCAGCTCCTGTTGTGTAAGGACCATGTAAGAGTCCATGCATATTTTATCCAGTGCATTCTAATTCTTTTTCAATTTGAATGAAATGTGCATATCAGCAAACAAAACATTCTCCTTCTGTACTTCAGAAGCTTGTACTAGAATATCGTGCATATTTTAAGCCTTGGTCAAATACAGGTGATCTCAAGTTACAACTGAAATTCAGAGCGAAATTGCAGCCAGATAATAAATGTCTAGCTAATATAGTGCATCCCAACTGGAAGTAACTTCAGAAAGTTAAGGCCATATTTTTAAACAGGCTGTCCCTTATACAGGTGTGCTTACTGAGCAGAAATGGACATGGGGGAAATAAGATGAGTGATACATAGAATGCATAATCAAATACAGTTAGTTTGCTTTCAGGAAATCATAGCCACCTCTGTGCCTTTAGAGAAAAGCAATAAAATGAACTCAGTAAAATACAGTTATGTGCCATGAATATACAGAAATGTTATTTTTGAAATATATACAAGAAAATCTTTTCTATTGCCAGTGGCCAAGGTATTAATAAATTAAATCACTGGACATAAATGAAAGACAAGTTCTATTAAAAAACATTAAGATTTTTACCTTACATATTGATTTTAGAAAAGCATGGTAACCAACTAGACTTAATTTTTAGGGTGACATCATTCAGGTTCTTTCCACATATACATCAACATGTGCTACATAATAGCCATTTAGGTCATTTCTCCATCCAAAAATATAACTGCTTTATGAAAAAGCAATAAAATATAATTTTGCATAAAAATGATATTAGCAAGATTCAACTGAGAAAGTAGTGCATGTATCACATTACTTCTCCCAACAATTCCCAAAGAGGTGAGAACAAAAATATATAATGCACATAATAAAGCATGAATACATAGATTATCAGAATGATTATACCTCCGCAGGATGCTTTTCTAATTTAAAAGATGTGCTTAGCATTCATGCACAGTTTTAGGGAATTTTAATTCTATAAAGGGTTATGAAAATGAGACAGAGGAAATATAAGAAGTCATGAAAAGAGATGGTATATTTATCACAGCATTAGGCATTGAGAATATGAACTTAGATTAACTTTCCAAGATCATTACAAAATTAGCCAGTTTCCTTTCAACCTGCCTATATAGAACCACAACCTGCAAAGTTAAAATATTCTCAGATCATCCTTTTGCTTTACACTTACAGTTCATTTTCCATAAATAATACACTTTATCCATTATTTAAAATACGAACAAAAATCCTGGTGTTTAAAAATCTGCCCTTAAGAAATGACAAATAAATACATATTTTAAAATAACAACGTACAACTTGACATTGTTTTTAAGGCATGAAAAATGGCATATGAATGGGAAGAGCTTCTAGAAAAGCATTATGTTGTTTTTGATATGGCCGGTCCAAGCACAAAACACCAAAAAAATCAACCTGACTCTAAAATGAACCAGTGTTCTAATGTGAATCAAGATTCAATAACTACATGTGTAGACGTTCTAGAACTTAAGTTATAACAAGATTTGTTTTATTGTTGAACTCTTCTTGTCTATTTAAAGCACCAGATACTCTACAAAGCATCTTTGGCCAAATCAGTACATGCTTCTTTTATGCTGCACTTCCAGTATCTCAATAAATAAAGGGGTTGTGGGCATTTTCCTCCCCTCTTTTCAATGTAAATGATCACAGAAATGTTCAGTCTGGGCTAATGCACTTTTGGAAGTCTATTATAAATTGAATGTAAAAGCAAAGGAAGGTTTTCTGCAGACCCACAAATCACCCTCGGCTATAAGAAACATGATGTGCATAGTGGTATCTTTGTTTTTCTTTTTTAAGAGTTAGATCTACAAATGTTGCTAGATCTACATTCTCAGTTTACCAGAGTTTGAGTGTTTCTACTTTATTAAAGCCAGGATCCTTTCGGAGTTCCCAATAGGTGTCATTAGAAACCCATGCTTCTCTCTGATTTGCTTCAATAACTTTTCTGCAAAATTAAGAGAGTTATTGGTTAACATAAATTCAGAAATATTCTTTAAGAGAATAGACACATACTTCAATTTAATTTACTTGTTGAGGAAATCTTCTGAAAAATGAAATTGCAATAAAATAATCCATTTTATTTAATCATAAATCAACAAGAACAAAAAGAAGAAAATCACAATTAATTAGGATAAAATAGAAAAAAATAATTGTTCTAAAATATCTAAGAAGGATTAGAAGAGATATTATGGTGTACTGTACAAACTGTAGAATGGTACTTAGCTGTGCTCAAAGATGTCAAATCACATTGACCTAATAATAACAAGATAAAACAAGTCAGAACGAATAGGATATTTAGTAAAGAATGGAAATAATAATTCTTGATGAGTGTCTGGGTATCATGTTCCAGCATTTCAATTATTTCTCCACCATGTGGATACATCTCTGTTCGAAGGGATCTTTCAGCATGTTGCTTCAGTAACTGCTGTTTGTGCAGGCACTGAATCTAGCAAAGGATAAAGCCCTTCTAAATTTTGGAATCATTATGCAACTAAGGTATTTGGTTGATTGAAGAAGATATGTGGAGTGGCTCAAAATGTTGTTTCTAGACAGAACTGATAAATCAGTCTACAACTCTAAACCAATGGCCCATTGTTTGAGATCAGCTAATGCACAATCATTTTAAGTAGGCTGGCTTTTCTGTGAAGCACACATTTGGCACACAATGACCTATTTGAAAAAGAACCAAAAACTTGATTTGAACTCTTCCAAGACAAAGGAACGCCCTTTAAGGCGCAACTAAACTCCTAAAAGTTGCTGGGCTTGGATGTTAGCTGAAGAGATTTTAATTGCTGCTGATATATACGGAGATCCTTTGGAGAAATAGAAAAAGTATAAAGCCAAAGTGGATTTCTGTGCATTTAGGGTAACGTGTGAAATTAGGTGTGAAATGTATGGTTATCTACAGCATGGAAAATAATCACTAGATATTTAACACCTAGTCTGTTAAATAATGATTTAGCTGCCAGATATGTGCCTTAGCAAAAATCATGACCCTGATTTTGGAGTAATTAATTTCCAACTGTTCTTCTTCACAGTGCCCACCAAATATATAAAGTGCCTGTTTCAGGCCAATCTATATCTAGATCTTGTTTTCTTGCAGATGTTTCATTACCCAAACTAGGTATCATCATCAGTGGTCCTTAGATAATCTATGCCTAAGGAAAAAGTGTAGCAGCATCTGCATATAAAAGAAATGTGTCTATTTCCCAATTTTGGCAGATCAAGAGATGGGCTATTTAATCTGCCTATAAGAGAATTAATGACTGGCTTTCTCTGAAGCCTGTTTGCTCATCAGCCAAGATATTCTTAGTTACAATCCAATCCAGGAGCTTGTTGTACAAGTGCTAGCATATAATTTACTAATTGGCTACTGTGTCAATAATCTCTATTTATCTTTTTTTGTAGATTAAAGTCACTAAAGGTAGGCCCCAATCATCAGAGACCTTAGCATATTTATCAATATTGGTGAATAGAAAAGCCAAAATGGGAACCCACCAAATGTTTTGAATGTCCTCCACTAAAATGAACATATTCTGAAGCTTTGTTCAATTTCAGCTATTTCATCAGTTTTATAATCGGGGTGGGGGTGCGGGAAGAAAAATCTTTCACTCAACTAATTCAAGTTCTTCAGCCAATTTCTCTACTCCTCCATCTGGTGTTAACAGGAACAATCATTCTTCTAACCAACCCTGTTTTGATAGCAAATGCCATACAGCCAAGAAACAACTAATTTCCTGCTTTAAAGAAGATAAAAAAAGATCCTCTTTCTTATTCAACCCAGAATGAGTTGCTGCTCTACTTTGCTGCTCTTTAAGAGGAAAAATAAACATATTATTTATTATATGCCTATAATAGCAAGCATATATATTATTCCTATTATTATAGGCAAAGAAGAAATAGACTTTGAGAGAGTTTTGGAATCAACTCTCATTATAAGACTTCAGCTCTATCTGGAAATGCATAACTCTTTAATCTGCTTCCTCTAATTTACAAATTTTGTCTTTTATACCTGCTTCAGTCTGGGGACACCACTTCATATTGTTGTATACACAGAAGGAATTACTCCATCCGAAGAGGGATTAGACTATAAATAAAATAATTATTTGGCAGAGAAGGAGAAAAGAGATTGAATTTTACTCTTAGGTATTTGGCAGATGTTTGTTTTTCTAACTCTACAAGGTTACATAAAAGAGAGGAACTGCACATACACCTGTTTGCTTGGACAAATCTCTATCTAGCTAGGGGAAAATTTATGAAAGATAGTGCATGCATAAAATACCAATCTGAAGATCAAACATTAATGTTAGATCTCTGAATTTCAAAAATAATGCAATAACTACATATTACAAATAAAACTGGTTTCTCATCTAATCAAGATTCACAAAAATCATCATCTTTGATTCAGATTTATCTGAGGAATAAGACCCTAGACTACAACCAATTTTCCCCCTATGTTTTGACATTTTTGAAAATAATTCAGTTGTACAATAAGAAACATGCAGATGTTACATAATGCAAGACAATTTCTAATGTTAAAAACATTATTAGTATTTTTGTTAATATTGTTATACCATTATATATACTAACCCCATTCTGTTTGCACAAGAATCACAAAGAGAGAGATTACTTACTTAAAAAATTTTGGTACATGTTCCATATTGTTTTCCTCTAAATAACGTCTCCGGCATCTCTGCAATTCTTCAATTCTTTGTTTTTCTGCTGCTGCTGCTTCTAAATTTCCATCTTCCAAATGCCTATAGTTAAGAATTAGGTCTTTCAGTAGATACATATCAACCTTTAAAAAATCTAACAACAAAATCCAGAAATTCCAAACTTCAAGAAGCATTTATATCATGTTCTATATTATGCAGGTTAGATAAAATTGATAGTATATTACAAAAAGTATTTATGAAGTGGGAAGGGGAAAAATAGGAAGGGTGATCCGTGTCTGCTGCTCTTTTTATAAGTTCACATATTAAAATATTTTAAATACTTCTGAAACTGTCTGGAGCAAGCTTTCACTGAGCAGCAGTGATTCACATTTCAGATGAATTTTTTAGCATTAATGTTCCTTATAATATTTAATCAAAAGCATGGTAGCATATTTTTTTTAAAAAAGTATACTTCTTGCCTTTGATCTGGCCTGAATCGAGCATCTGTTTTTGGAAGAAGGTCTTTCAGTGCAGGATCTAACTCATTTAGCTCAATAGCAAACCTTGTGAAACCATAATAATGCTCATAATTTGTTGGCATGGAACCTATATTAAAAATTAAAATAAAGGTAGTGATTAACCACTGTGAATAAACACTAGGTCTACATGATAAAGAAAATATTGTACCTTGATCTTCATTAAACACCCTATATGAAGCACTGTCAATTCTCAAAACTTTTTAAACCATGGTTTTATGTGCAGACATTATTCTCCCTGTTATTAAGAAGATATGGGAGATGGTTCACTCCTCATGTTGTTGTCAAAATATGCTCCGCTTGGCTAGGACCCCCATATGTTCTCCCAAACCTTGCCCCACAAAATCCACATTTCATGGTCTGACACAATCACTTCATGATTTTCTATGCAAGGAGAAAGAAATTACTTCAGGAAGAAAGATCATCCCAAAATATTCCAGAGAAGGTGGATACTTAGGGCTTTAATGGTCTTACAGATATTACTGAATGTTGGCCCTCTACATCACTGAGGCACAGCATGGGCATTCATATTATGTTTTATGCACAAGAAGCAATAGATAGAAACTAATCAAGGAAAGAACCAACCTATAACTTAGGAGAAATTTCCTGACAGAACAATTAACCAGTGGAATGGCTTGCCTCTAAAAGTTGTGGATGCTCCAACACTGGAGGTTTTTAAGAAGAGATTAGATAACGATTTGTCTGAAAAGGTATAGGATCTCCTCCTTGGTTAGGGGATTGGACTGGAGGACATCCAAGGTCCCTTCCAACTCTGTTATTTTATTTTTCATTTAACCTATTTTTTTTATATTACTGAATCAGGTTGAACCATGGGTGTGTTACAAGTAGATAAAACCAGAATGCAACATTACAAAAGCAAGGCCTTATGAAAATGGTCAGTTTTGGCAGTTTTCTGAAAAGATCCCAACAACGCCATTTTGTGAAAAACACTGCTTTGAGTTCCCATTCTCTCACTTAATATATGAGTCTAGGCCAGACGGATACATATCAATTTAATAAATTAATATGTGCAGAACTCTTAGCATCCTGGCTTGGGATCAACATACAGGATGAGCCAATTTTATGAAAGGAAGCAGTTCTGAATAGTCCTTTTATGTAACCTTCTGTTGCATCCAACAACCTGGTAGCTGCTGCTTGAAACTCACTAGAACTTAATCAATTTCACACTAAAGGTTTTGTTGTCATAAATGCCCACGTTGATCATAAAATGAATTTTTATTACCATTAATTACAGTCATATTTGCAAATGGTTGCTATCCAAGGCAGTTGCTAAATGAGGACTCACTGTATTGTGGGACACCTTGAAACATTATCCCAGATTTAAAAAGTTAAAGATAATTCAAATTCCCAACCAGTTCTCATATCATTTTTGTTAAATCACAAAATAAGCATATAAATTATAGGAGAACTAGGAACTGCCTCATAGCTACTAATTTTGGAAAATTAGAAAAACACAAGATTTAGTTCAGAAGGTACAACCTGTATCCTTAATCAAAGAATCCCATTTTCCCCCATCGATAGAAATACTGCATGAATTATTTCTACGGCATACATTATTTCTACTTTCTCTTCCAATGTTCTTTATTTTTTTAACATTCGGTTGCACAAAATTCATCATTCAAATATGGGAAAAAACTGATTGTAATTTTGTCCTTACCAATAAATCCAATTGACTAAATAAGTGATTGTTACCTTTTTCAAAGGAACTACTCCTTTTTTTCTGTTCAGCTTGAAGAATATCAAAATGTATATACTCTGTGTGTGTGTGTGTGTGTGTATGTGTGTGTGTGTGTATGTATGTCTGTCTCTCTGCCTTCAATAAACAGTAAGAATGTCGGTATGCACACACATACACACACACACACACAGAGTATATATAATACTGAAAAATGCACATTCATTTTAATGGCAACAGTGGCATTAAACATTTTGCTACCATGCTCAAAATATTAGATCTCTCTTCATTCAACACATGCCATTTAACAACTTACAGCATTTTTGCATTATTCCTGCTTGATCTTAGAACCTATTATGGAACACACACAGTCTTCTAAATAAGCTGAGTTTGATTTAGATTTCATCATGGAAAGATACAATTATTAAAGGACAGCAATGACTTACACTTACAGTTTCTAAGCTACAATTAATGTTCCAAGCTATCATAACTAGTACACCGAGATGAAATCCTGGCGTCTATAGTACAAATTCTACTCCTTTCTTTATTACTTTTTTAAGTTATATTTAGAATTATATAAATGTCATGTATTACCAGGCCTCCATATACATTTTGCTGAAGGTGCAATTCCACAATATAATCCTTCATGCCATTTTCCAAAAAGGCGATGCACCACTTTTCCTTCTTGGTCCATGACAACACCTTGAACTTCGTTTACATTAGAATTCCAGTAGTTCACCTAAAAACATTAAAACCAAATAGTTTGGTTTTATGAAATGTAAACAAATCATCTATTATCAAGTCTCTCTGCCTTCAATCAACAGCAAGAGTGCAATCCCCATTCCTTACTAAGAGCCTTCAATAAATGTGATTCTTCACATGCAATCCCATGAGAAAAAAAAATGTAATCTTATTTATGACACAACACACTATATATGTGAGTGCTCTGAATGATGGCAGACTTCTAATTTAAAGGGGGATTGTAATATGAAGGTCTGCTTCCACAGGCTACTCAAATTATGTATAGGATCATAAAAAGGTAATTGCTAGAATAATAGAACAGGCTGTGAAAGCAAGATTATTTTATATCCTACTCAAAAGTACTTTAGTCTTCTTGACAAGTGAAAGTATTTTTAGGGCAGATTTCTTCCTTCTAAAATACACTGCTCAAAAAAATAAAGGGAACACAAAAATAAGACATCCTAGATCCGAATGAATGAAATATTCTCATTAAATACTTTGTTCATTACATAGTTGAATGTGCTGACAACAAAATCACACAAATATTATCAATGGAAATCAAATTTAGCAACCCATGGAGGTCTGGATTTGGAGTTACACTCAAAATTAAAGTGGAAAAAAACATTACAGGCTGATCCAACTTTGATGTAATATCCTTAAAACAAGTCAAAATGAGGCTCAGTAATATGTGTGGCCTCCACGTGCCTGTATGACCCCCCTACAACGCCTGGGCACGCTCCTAATGAGGTGGTAGATGGTCTCCTGAGCGATCTCCTCCCACACCTGGACTAAAGCATCCCCCAACTCCTGGACAGTCTGTGGTACAATGTGATGTTGGTGGATGAAGTAAGATATGATGTCCCAGATGTGCTCAGTTAGATTCAGGTCTGGGGAACGGGTGGGCCAGTCCATAGTATCAAGCCAGTCTGTAGTATTAATGCCTTTGTCTTGCAGGAACTTCTGACACACTCCAGCCACATGAGGCCTAGCATTGTCGTGGATTAGGAGGAACCCAGGGCCAACCGTACCAGCATATGGTCTCACAAGGGGTCTGAGGATCTCATCTCAGTACCTAATGGCAGTCAGGATATCTCTGGTGAGCACATGGAGGGTTGTGCGGCCCCCTAAAGAAATGCCAGCCCACACCATTACTGACCCACTGCCAAACTGGTCATGCTGGAAAATGTTGCAGGCAGAAGAACGTTCACCATGGCGTCTCCAAAACCTGTCACATCTGTCACATTTGCTCAATGTGAACCTGCTCTCGTCTGTGAAGAGCACAGGGCACCAGTGGCAAATTTGCCAATCTTGGTGTTCTCTGGCAAATGCCAAACATCCTGCACAGTGTTGGGCTGTAAGCACAACCCCCATCTGTGGACGTCAGGCCCTCATAACACCCTCGTGGAGTATGTTTCTGACCGTTTGAGCAGCCACATGCACATCTGTGGCCCACTGGAGGTCATTTTGCAGGGCTCTGTCAGTGTTCCTCCTGTCTCTCCTTGCACAAAAGCGGAGGTAGCAGTCCTGATGCTGGATTGTTGCCCTCCTATGGCCTCCTCCACGTCTCCTGATGTACTGGCCTGTCTCCTGGTAGCGCCTCCATGCTCTGGACACTACGCTGACAGACACAGCAAACCTTCTTGCCACAACTCGCATTGATGTGCCATCCTGGGTGAGCTGCACTACCTGAGCCACGTGTGGGTTGTAGACTCCCTCTCATGCTACCACTAGAGTGAAAGCACCACCAGCATTCAAAAGTGACCAAACCATCAGCCAGAAAGCATAGGAACTGAGAAGTGGTCTGTGGTCACCACCTGCGAACCACTCCTTTATTGGGGAAGTCTTGCTAACTGCCTATGCTTTCCACCTGTTGTCTATTCCATTTGCACAACAGCATGTGAAATTGATTGTCAATCAGTGTTGCTACCTAAGTGGACAGTTTGATTTCACAGAAGTGTGATTGACTTGGAGTTACATTGTGTTGTTTAAGTGTTCCCTTTATTTTTTTGAGCAGTGTATTTGTCTGGAGCTCAAAAAAAGAAAACAGCATTCTTGATTGGGAATCCAGTCACAAATAGCTTTTCTAATTTTTCTTTTTATAATTATCTGCATGGAACTATTAACGCTCATGAGCTCCAGCAAGGTTGGGACCTAATTAAAGAAATCTCAACCGATTAATTGTACCACTAGACAATAAATTAACTGGTCACATCTACATAGGAATAAAACTGTTAAAGGAAATGCCAGGTGTTTTAAATAATGTATATACATCTCATAGCACCTTAAAATGAAGACAGAAAATCTTTACTCTTTTCAATATTGCTTATATTGCCATCCATGGGGAAAGTTAGAAGTTCTCACCTATCCTAGAAAATCATTTTGGGTGACAAAGATAAAAAGGGGGAGATTCTTCTAAACTTGGGTTGTGCACTGTTTTTTACTATTATTTTGCTTAAAGACCGGTATTTATTTATGGGAAAGCATGGAAGAACAACATTAATATTAATATTTAAAATTAAAATATTTCCAGGTAAACGTTTCACTGTCATGCTGAATTGGTTCATATAACCAGGAGCCATTTCTAGATTCACAGTAATATTTTCCAGAATCACTGGGAGTCTGGCAGTATAAAGATTTAATAAATTGTTGTTGCCATTATCACTAATGCAGGCGATTTAGATAAAATGATGCAGAACAATGTGATTTTACCACGCTGAAAGTCTACTATACGTCATTGTCAACCATAGAGCTCTACAAGGTATTTATAGATTTGCATCAATGGTCATGCATAAAGGCACTGATTGCATTAATTGTGGCACCCAAAAAGAATATATAGGAATGTTGCCACTAAATTTAGATGCTCTCTGGCAGCTAATTGAAAGGACTATTAATTATTTTCCCCACTGAAACAGAACCTATTGAAGCTAGCGTGCTACTGATGCATTTCCAAATGTTCCTGTGAATAGGCCATTGGTAGCATACATAGTCCCTTCACTGTTCATGATGATGATCATAGTAAATCTACCTTGATAAATGTGAGCTTACAAATACAGACACTGCTTTTTGTATTTCTAATGGTTATTTCTCCATAATGCTCTATCCATCTCCTTCCACTCAGGATGTTGTGTATGCAAGTAGTGACTTTGTTCCAAACATAGCAATCACCGTATCTAGAAAGAAAGGGAAGAGTAATAAGCTTCAGAATTCTTTTCTAAAGCCATTCCAAGCTCACATGCAAATAAATCTTACTACAATTCCAATATTAAAAACAACTCACAAAGAAGGAAAAGGTGCACCTCTTCACTCATTTAAATATTTATATTCTACCTTTTCTCCATCTTTATGTCCTCAACAATTTTTTACGATCAATTTTTGCATCATCATAGAAAGCATAATAAAACAACATTAGTCGAACATGGCTCTATATCCATCATCAATTATATCACACTGATTCTTAAAGCTACCAAAAAATCTGGGGGGATAACAAGACTTAAACACTGTAAACAACAGGCCTGAGAAAAGTGTCTGGAAAGTTATGTCAAAGTCTGGGATGGTAATGATAAGAATACTCCTGCTCTAACAGATTCAAAAAGCTTATCCTTCAGGTCTCTCTATACTGAATGGAGTACTTCCACTGTCTTTTTTCCCATAGAAGCTTTGTTCAACATTACAAAAATTTTAAATGATAATTTGGATTGTCAAATATTTTCCTGAAAGCAGGCTTTTCAGGGTACTTCTGATATTGGAGGCACTAACCCCCACATACTGGAATATTTTTAAAAAACATTTTTTATTCTTCCAGAGAAGACTATGCTTACAGTCACAAGACAGAATTAACCACAAAAAATAATTAACATGAATGCATCCACTTGCAGCTTGCAGCTCTGCCAACTCCCTCACTCCAATTATGGTCTTGGATCAATCTGTTGCTTTTATACAGTTCAAAAGATACTTCTGTTAGAAGCTAATGTAAGCTACTGAGACAGATTAGATTGAGACAAAGACAGTCAGTGTTGTAAGTGATTAAATTTCTGGACTGTAATTACAGACATCCAGGTTCTAGCCCCTTGTAAGTTGCAGAAGCTCACTGAGTGATTTGAAGCCACTTTCTCATAACACAACCTATCACTCGGGGCTGCTGTGGATAAAAAAGGAAGGCAAGGTGTTGAGGTAATTCCCCGTTAGGAGAATGAGCGCACACAGGGACACGTAGTAAGAGTAGTGAAGAATAACACACAACCAGCACACAGATACACTGTATAGTAAAATGTAGGTTTTTAGTTCCAATAAACATTTAAGCAAAATCCAACAAGCAGTCCAAGTCATACATGGTTAAAGCAGTCAGTTTTCAGTCCAGGGATAATCCAAAATATCGAAGTCCAGTATCAAAAACAGTTCAGTTAAAGACTCACATCAAATCCAAGAATAACGATGATCAGTAACAGTCAATAGGGAAATGCAGGCACAGCAACACTCTCAGCAACAACAGAACAGAACAACCCAGGTCTCTGGCTCCATCTTATGGCCGTTTGAGGAACCACACCCAATTACAATTTTAGCATTTCCTTAAAGAGACAGTATTAAAATGTCTATCCTGGTTTATATATTTTCCAACCCAACTGTTAGGTGACTTACATTCCTAACACAAGGTAACTATTTATCATAGTTCTTAACAAAAGGCAAGATATAAATCTAATAAAGAAATTTTAAAATAAATTAAAATTTCATTTGTCTATAGCTACATAGTGGGTGCATACTGATGAGAAATCTGAGACATTTTTTCCCAATTTATTCTTCTGTTTGCATTAGTTCTGTGTGAAGCAAGCCAAATTATAATATGTTGGCATCAGCTGATCAACTCTAACATGCTTCAGGATAAACATAATAAAGAACAGTAAGACTAATAAAATGCACTAGGTTTTCTCCACTTTGCTAACACCCTTGTTAGCAAAGGGGCATATTTCATTTTCAATTACTAAAATATACCTACCTTTTTAAAGAAAATAACAAAGGGAAGTCTAAATGTTTTTACTGTTACAAAGTTATGCCAGGTAACCATTTGTAAGGATCAAAACACCATCCATTCAAGCAATGACCATTTTCACCCTAGCTCAACCAGAATTCATTTCAATATTAATTGTTGCTAGGACACTGGGATCTGGTTCTTCAGTGATCCCAGCTTTCTTACCGCTGCCTAAAAATTCTGCACATTTTCAGATTTCATATCTGTCATGTTTATACAATAACTTGATGTTTAACATAAAAAGACATACAAAAAGCACTTACTTAGGAAGTGTCACATTCAGAGTTCCAATTGGCAATATTTCCATCGATTTCCCCCAGAATTTGTTTTTCCATCTAATATCTAAATAAAAGAAATTTGTACAAAGAAGCAAAATGCTATATACATTTATTCATCTCAGATACTATGTAAGTTAATATATCTTGTTCTAAACAGATCAACAGGCTAATCCAGAGGCAGAAAATTGTTGATTTCTAATTTCTCAATGTAAAATACGTAATAAAATAAAGAAAGAAAGAACAATTGGCCTTTGCTAGTATTGTAACTACATTTCAACAAGAGAATTTATAAAATTTAATTTTCTTTTTTAATTAAAATTTGATTCATCCATTTGTAACTCAAATATATACCTTGCCAAAACACAAAATTCTTTGATTCACAATGACAGGCAGAAATGGGTGGGTGATGGCTAACCTGGAAAAAAAATTACATACAAGTAATTGGACATACACAATCTATACAAGATTTTAAAATTCATTACATTTTGAAAAAAACACTATGCAACCATACAAAGAACATGAAGGCAAAGCTGAATTCTGCCATGTTGAATTTTAGCTAATATCTCAAAAACAAATATTGTTTTAAAACAAACCTAAGGATTTTCTTGACAGCACTTCATAAATCAAGATGAAATGTTTTAAATAACTCTCCTTCTTCCCAAAAAATAAAGTCATACAGCAATATTTAACTATCTTGATTACAGCAGACCATACCTGCTCTGAGAAAAATCGAAATCCCTTGTCTTCCCTGATACACTCATAAGTCTCACCAAGTAGAGGGTTAAAAGGCTTGCTTCCTGCTCTGTAATAAGTGGAAGCATATCCTGAAGTTGCAAAGGCAGCAATAAGGACCTAATTAGAACAACAAAACAGTATTTAAGAAAACAATTCTGAAAAAGATTGGCTTGATTGGCTTCTATAATCAACCATGTTTTTTCCTAGGGTGCACCTTTTCCCTGTTTATAGTTAACATACATACATACATACATACATACATACAGTATTTATATTTATGTTAGTTAGTAGTTCTCATTTGCTTCCAGAGTGTAGCAAAGATCTAAATCAAAACAGAAAGAAACTGAGGGCTAATGTTCTATTATCAGACATGAATGCTTTTAAATGCAGGAGAAAAATGTAAGAATGTTATATCTTGAAGACTTAACAGGAAGACAGGATGGACACAGAATCTACTTGTATATCTGTTTATGTATAATGTAATATATAATGTAATATTGCACTTACAAAGACACAAAACTCTGGGGAAAAACAAAAAAGGAATGTCAAGATGATAATCTGCATCTGAAGAAAATACAGTGGCCATGTTTATTTGTTGTAGGGAAACACAACTTATTATGAGGTGCAGAAGATGAGGCAAACCAGAAGGGAGAGAGTTGGACTTTTTAACTTCAGGGTTTATGGAAGCAATGCTTTCTATTCCTTCCAAACAGGATCACAGTATAAACTATTTTATTGCTTTGAGAACAAACCAATTTCCCAATTTCAAGTTCTCTTCTCAATTGCCTGGGAACCAGAGCTACAAATAAATGTTCCAAACTGGACACTTACTAGACTGTTTACATCTAAGGGTCTGATCTAACTGAACAGATCACAGAAAGAGCTACAGATCATTTCAGGGAGAAAAATGTAGTTGTTGACTGTAATAAACTTTTCATTCATACATGTTGTGCATATGGGAGGAATATCCTGTAATAACACACCCCTTCTTGTATTTCCAGATCAGGAACATACACTTTCCTAATTGAATTTCTTCCACATTGGTATTTAACTGCTTCTATAAAAAAGTTGCTAACAAAAATCTATAACTACTTTTTAAAAGGCAGCATTGCAATAGGAAAAAAAAACATGGATGTGTAATTAAAAGAAAGAAAAGAATATTTTTTTTACCTTTGAAGATACATAGTTAAAAATTTTTATAGAGATTAATCTCACAATAATTTTGGTATATTTCCCAGACACAGAAAACGGAGCATCATTCATGTATATAAATAAATATACTGCTCAAAAAAATAAAGGGAACACAAAAATAAGACATCCTAGATCTGAATGAATGAAATATTCTTATTAAATACTTCGTTCATTACATAGTAGAGTGTGCTGACAACAAAATCACACGAAAATTATCAATGGAAATCAAATTTAGCAACCCATGGAGGTCTGGATTTGGTTACACTCAAAATTAAAGTGGAAAAAAACATTACAGGCTGATCCAACTTTGATGTAATGTCCTTAAAACAAGTCAAAATGAGGCTCAGTAGTGTGTGTGGCCTCCACATGCCTGTATGATCTCCCTACAACGCCTGGGCATGCTCCTGATGAGGTGGCAGATGGTCTCCCGAGGGATCTCCTCCCACACCTGGACTAAAGCATCCCCCAACTCCTGGACAGTCTGTGGTGCAACATGGCATTAGTGGATGGAGCGAGACATGATGTCCCAGATGTGCTCAATTGGATTCAGGTCTGGGGAACAGGCGGGCTAGTCCATAGCATCAATGCCTTCGTCTTGCAGGAACTGCTGACACACTCCAGCCATATGAGGTCTAGCATTTTCTTGCATTAGGAGGAATCCAGGGCCAACTGCACCAGCATATGGTCTCACAAGGGATCTGAGGATCTCATCTCGGTACCTAATGGCAGTCAGGCTACCTTTGGTGAGCACATGGAGGGTTGTGCGGCCCCCTAAAGAAATGCCATCCCACACCATTACTGACCCACTGCCAAACCAGTCATGGTGGAAGATGTTGTAGGCAGCAGAACGTTCTCCACGGCGTCTCCAGAACCTGTCACATGTGCTCAGTGTGAAACTGCTTTTGTCTGTGAAGAGCACAGGGCTCCAGTGGCGAATTTGCCAATCTTGGTGTTCTCTGGCAAATGCCAAACATCCTGCACGGTGTTGGACTGTAAGCACAACCCCCATCTGTGGACATTGGGCCCTCATAACACCCTCATGGAGTCTGTTTCTGACTGTTTGAGCAGCCACATGCACGTTTGTGGCCCACTGGAGGTCATTTTGCAGGGCTCTGGCAGTGCTCCTCCTGTCCCTCCTTGCACAAAGGCGGAGGTAGTAGTCCTGATGCTGGATTGTTGCCCTCCTACGGCTTCCTCCACGTCTCCTGATGTACTGGCCTGTCTCCTGATAGCACCTCCATGCTCTGGACACTATGCTGACAAGACACAGCAAACCTTCTTCCCACAGCTCACATTGATGTGCCATCCTGGATGAGCTGCATTACCTGAGCCACTTGTGTGGGTTGTAGACTCCCTCTCATGCTACCACTAGAGTGAAAGCACTGCCAGCATTCAAAAGTGACCAAACCATCATCCAGAAAGCATAGGAACTGGGAAGTGGTCTGTGGTCACCACCTGCAGAACCACTCCTTTATTGGGGATGTCTTGCTAACTGCCTATGCTTTCCACCTGTTGTCTATTCCATTTGCACAACAGCATGTGAAATAGATTGTCAATCAGTGTTGCTACCTAAGTGGACAGTTTGATTTCACAGAAGTGTGATTGACTTGGAGTTACATTGTGTTGTTTAAGTGTTCCCTTTATTCTTTTGAGCAGTGTATAATGGAAACAGTTCACCAGGACTTTTTCCTGTGCAAACTATAATCATATTTTTATTTATATATCTTCATTATTTATATAGTTGCCATTCTCAGAGAATGCAATGCAATGAAAGGTACTCGGGCAAGACTTTGCAATATAAAAATTCCCAGTACCCTCTTCCTGTCAGAACATATTTTATGTTTCTCACCCAGAAGAGTCACAGAGAAAAGGGCAGGCTCTCTTTGATTTTTTAAGTATGTTACAAAATACATTTTATAGGCAAACAAATGGTACTTTTGTATAAGCTAGAGGCCCTCATTTTGCCAGCATCACTCCTTTTAGAGAATGCAAAATACCAGAGGTCTAAGAGAGAAGGAACACATTATGGAACACCATGATATGTTCCATAATCAGGCCCATTACCATACGTTCATAAGGATCATCTGTTTCAGCAGCTTTGTCCAAAAGTTCACTATATTCCAGTTCCTCGCAAAGGTGTTGCAAAGTATTCAAAGGCTCATTGAGCTCTACAGGCATTGATACTTTGGAAAGATCCTTCCCAATATTATTTCTCAAAATGTTCCACAGATTAATATTACTAGTATCAGGGGAGGGTGTTGGAAGACATGTCCTTCGTCCATTTCTGAAAGCACCTCCTGTTAGCTCACCATTCATTACTAAAAGAGAAATAGAACAGAATGATCATGAAACCTATACAATGTGCTGATATACACACATATACATATAGTGGGTATATGTTTGTATGCATGTAGTGGGGTGTATGCATATATATGGCATGATATTACATAAAACTGTAGATAGTTCTCAAAGTTACTGATTCATTTAGTGACTTTTCAAAGTTACAAGAGTGCTAAAAAAAACAGCTTAACATTCAGTTCTCACATTTATGAATTTAGTAGAAACTCTGTTAATTTTAACTTGCTGATTTAGCCCATACTAAGATGCCCCCAAAGAGAAAGATAAAAGCTGAAGCAAAGGAAAACTGAAGCAAAATCATACGCATGCCTGCAGTCCCGCCATTTTCACTTCATAACTGCTTTGCTTAACAAGCAAGTCATAGATTACAACTGCACTAGGACTATCTGTACTTTGAATTTTAATTATCTTACAATTTATCTTACTATCTTACATTAGTCTACAAGCAAGCTTGTAGCCTAGAGTAAGGAATCTCCTTATTAGAGGCCACAATTTCTTAGCGTTTTAAAAGTCAACTAACCAAATGTACCACTAAATCATGTTGTCTCCTGACATCATGGATTCAGAAAATAAACTGTAGGGTTAGTACCATTTTTTTAAACCTGTTACAACAAATGAGGCATAGTCCTGCTTTGAATCTGAGTATCACTACACCTGACTAAATCCTGAGTGCCTGGCAAAAATGTTTAAAAAAAAGATATTTAAAATCAATTTAAAGGAAAACTGATTAAGAATGATCCCAAATGAAGCTTTTATTGTGCACAGAATTTTACAAGGCATCCAGGTGTCGTTATTTTCTTTATAAAACCACACAATGCCTGACCATGGCTTTACCTAGATTTTTCTTTGCTTTGTCATGTGTACATAACAAATTGTTAAGAAACAAGATGGAATAAGCTGCTTACCTTGAAATATTCAAACAGCAAAATAAGTCGCCAGGGTACATATTTGCTTAATCTTTCATTCCTTGCCTTTTTACCACCTTAGGTTTTTTTTTCCTCCGTAACTTCCTCGACAGATGGAATTACCTATGCACTAATTCCCACTTTTGCTTTTCTATTCCCATTAATTTATTTTCCAAACAGATTTTCCTACCCTTTTAATTATTATTTTTTTAACGGCAATCTCTTTTTAAAAGGATTTTTGTTAATGTTGCTGTACCTTTGCATATAATTCAATTAACTACTTGCTGACAGATGAGTTTCAGAAAAAAGGAATGACAAAAGAAGAGGGAGGATGGTGTATTTTTTCCCCAGGCCCATTTTCTGTAAAATAATTGGAAAAATAAAAATGTTTTGGTAATACCTTAAAAAAATCTAATTATATCTTTTCAAATAGTGAATGCAATAAGAGAAGTTTTTCACATATTGCTATTGTTTATTTTCCCAAAGTTTTTTTTTTTGTAATTAGATTTTTTTTTTCAACTAACAGAGTATTAAACTTCTTCTACACAGAGTACAGCTTTCAAATATGAATACAAAATACATTTCAGCCACTAACGGACACTGTCATTTTCATAAAAAAGAAGGATTTGATACTGGATTTACTTGTGAGCTTGTCTATTGCTGAATTTTTACCTCGAGGTCAGACATGCTTTTGACTAGGTCTCAAAGGATAGAATTCTATTATCATGTCAATCATTTCTTCAGTCTTCAACTTTATTTTTTTCAGTGTGGCAAAATTAAGGCCTTAGATTTCCAGGGAATAATTGCTGATCTGAAGATGGTTCCACAAAATGAAGAGCCGATGATCGCACCAGAGTGAAGAGCTGGTGAATAGATCAACTTTTCATAATTCCTCTCCAGATAAGGAGAGGACTTGAGATTGCTATGTGTATTCCAGGCAGTTGCTCCTCATGAGACCACCTCCAAACAGTGGTTTCCAACAGATTTAGCAATCTGGGGGTGGGTGGGTTCTTATTCAAACCATAGTTGGTATCTTCAAAAAGGACACTGGGTACTTCCTTTCCTAATCACTTTAAGAAACTATTGAATTGTTAACTTCCTTTAATCTATTAGGAACATTTGGATTGACGTTTTACAGCACCAGGTAATTTCCTTCAATCTTTAGCAAAATAGAGTTTTAAATGTAACATTAATGACTTAAAAAATTATTTCTGAAACAGTAAAAGAGTAATTAAAACTTTGAATTTTTAAACATTATTTTTATTAAAGTTTTAAAACACAAAGATAAAAAATTAATACAAACTAACAAAAATGTAACAGTAAAAAAGAAAAATGCAAAACATTAAATAGATATATATGGTTATACATACATATATACCTTCCACATATAAATATTAAAAAAACATTATAGATATATTAAAGTGTGTGTGTGTATGTGTGTGGGAATGAAAAAGACTTGCTGATAAAACTGCAACTATTAGATTTTATGGATTTGTTTATAGATAACAGATGGAATATTGGAAGAAGAAATAATTTGTAGGTTTTAAAAGAAGATGATAAGTGATTGGAATAGTTTATAATTGTGAAGAAGGGGAAAGTCTTGCTTTTTACTGAATTCTAATTTATTCTCTAATTATCCTTCTTTTTATTTTCTGCACTTTCTATTTTTTTTTCTTTTTACTTTTTTGGTTTGTATTAGTCTTTATTGTTGTAAATTGTAATATTTAATAAATCTTTAATGAAAATTTAGAAAGAAGATTTATAATGAGGTTCGGGTTAGGCACAATGGGATGCAAAAAGAACAATGAGATGGGAAAAATTAGCGATTAATATGCTGGAAGATATGTCAATTGGAAAATAGAAATAGAGTAACAAAGAGAGCAAGGATGGGAATTATACACACAAAACAATACAACATCCTGAAGTGACCAAAAGAAAGAGGATTAATATGAGGAGAGGCTGAAAGTATCTTGTGATGGCAAAGAGGATAGAATAAAGGCAGAAAAATGGATTAACAGAAAGGATATGTTAAAAAGAGCTCATAGAATTAAAAAAGAAAGTAAAGTAATTTTCTGCAACTAATAAATTAGAAGCAATTTGAAAGTCTCAGAGTGAAAACTCCTTGTTTGCTTCTGTATAAATTATATAAATTTTATTTTCTAAAAGTCAAGAAACAGCATACTTTGCCGAGAAATATTGTCTCCGACACTAGTGTTGTCCTCAGATATGTTGTCGCTCACATCACTTATGTAAGATTCATCATCAGAAGCCTAATGAAGAAAATACTGATTATTACTATTATTATACTGAAAAAATAAATGCTATTGTCACAAATTCAAATTCCTTATAATATTTGGGGCTTTTTTAGATCCATCCTGTTTGTCTGCAAATATTCTTCCCTTTCAATAAAACATTGATAGGTGCACATATCTGTAGTGAATCCCCCTCTTGGCAAAACAACAATGCAACAACTGCTAAAAGAAAAAGCAGCAGAGAGATTTTGAAAATTATAGCATTTTGCTACCATTTTATAGTTTCCCTCAGTTTTACAGGTCAGATATGGTAGCCCTTATTTTATTTAGTATTTCAGAGTGTTCAAATAAGATGTACAATATGTTACCTTAAAACACTTAAATTAACTAATATGATTGCCTTCATACATGAAACATTGGCTGAGACATACAAGTTTGTGAAAAACATCAAGTTAATAGATGTGAATCATGGACAGGCTATGCCATGCCCATTTTCCTAATTAAAATGAACCATCCAGTACTTCAATCTCACATTACATAAAAGTGCTGAGTAAAGATTGTTCTTCCTAACCTCATTTTCTGATGAGCTTGCAGATAGAAGCACTTCTTGGGCATCAAAAAATTCAGAGACAGATTCAGACATAGAGAGCCTGCTCTCATTAGAAACTTGTTGGGAAAGTGGGAGACTGACATGGATCTGTTCACCTGTCTATAAAAGAAAAACATATAGATGAATTCTGCATACTGTATAGTGAGCCTAAGAGCTTATACAAGCTATGACAAAACAAAAATTGCACCAAGCCACGATGGATAGATGCACTGCTTCTTGTTCACATTTCTTTCCCGCATACTGAGAGAGAAAATAAACCAGAGATGGCCCTATAAACCTGCGTTGTACCTAGCAAATTAAGAATTTAGTTGAAAAGGAGTCATATTTTCAGGATGCACTCAAAACTTTCTGAAAAAGAAAGAGACATGCATTACTTTCCTCGGGATTAGTATAATTCTGAGTACATTTGCACTGTACTTCCACATGTATTGATGAGAGTTGCCACAAAATACAAGCTGGCTAGAATTCAATTCATACGGAACCAGCCATTCCCTCAAACAGATAATTCTAATCGTGCCCACTGTCATTCATCATTCTTTAATCAGTGACCAACTTCAATTCTCAATAAGTTATGTTTCCTGGATTGAGTATGCTAATAACTTCTAATTCTTCAGGTCTCCAGTTTTAATTATAGTCTTTTTATCACTCTGCTCTTACATATGCTATTAGAAAAAGCAGTGAATGTATTCTATTTACTGTATTTCAAGCAGTCTTTCCTTTTTTAGGATAGGTTATATATACATAGTTTTACCTTCTCAAAAGGTATTTTAAGGTCCCCCTTGGAAAGAGATACACTGTGCCATTCAGGCTTGCAGCATGGATCTCTTTTATTTCATTACTTCTCATTGTAAAGGCAACCCATTAAAATAATATTTCTCTATTTACAACAAAGCTGAACACACATCATTAAGAAGCTACCATGACAGGATGGGAAGGCCTGAAAATACAGGAAAAGCAATTCCTATAATCCAAGAAAATGAGAAGAATTCTAACTTCGTGCAACAGAAGTAGCTTTGAATGAAAGATGCAAGAAAAACTTTTGTTTGAATTGAAGGGTTAACCAACAAAGCGCATGGTAACGCAATTAAAACAGACATAAAATGCAAGTAAGAAAGGAAGAGGGACACCATAATTTTCAAGAAAAGGAATTTGAAAGAAAAATAAATAATGAAATAGAGACTTTGGTGAAACCAGTAAGCCTTATCTTCTCATGTACGTCTTAAAACTAAGTGAAGTTTTACATTTTCTAACCTGGAAGGTCTCTTGCTCAAAAGGAGAACAGGAAAGAAAGATTATCAACTGAACAGGTATTGTTGCAATGCTAATTGGTTTATCTTCCATCTTTTAAAATCCAAAGCATAAGACTGATAATGCCAAATGATCAGAAACAGAAAGGAAGCAGACAATTCTTACCATGGATGGAGTAGTGGGGTTACTCCGAGGATCTATACTGATAATGACTAATGCTTTTTTAACACATTTTTAACTCATTTTTAAATAACTGAAGTTGGACTAGTCAAATAAGGTAATTGACTGTATGGACTGACCAAGGTGGCCAAAAAAGGGCGGCAGAGAAGAGCTCGTCTAAACCCATTTCTATAAACTGGGTAAGAGGGTATAAAATGGCAAATGTGGTTCAAGAAATGTTAAGTATAAAATAATATGCACCAAGGCCAAAATTTTTAAGTTTACAACACACTGATGGCCACTGAATACACTGAACTGGCAATAATGAACCAGAAATATTGTGGGATCATAATGGGAACCAGAAAAAATATATATTACTTAAGCTTTTTAGTTTTGAAAAAAAAAGTAGCGGGTATGAATAAATTATGCATGATACAATGAAAGTAGACAGAAATTATTATTTTTCTCTCATAGCACAGAAACTCGAAGCAGATTTAGGAAAAACAAATGAAAGTCTGCCTTCACACAGTATTTAAATGTATAGAATTAGCCATCCTAAAATCAATAGCTGATCAACTAATTAGATGTCACTGAGTTGATTTTAACTCTTAACACATACATAAACATTCTCCAGGGTAAGCCTATAGCTTAAGTATAATTTAAAAAAGATATTCAAAAAATTCATGGGGAATAAAGTTACTAGTGGCTACTAAGCCAGACAATTTTAGGCCAATCTTAGGATCATCTCTGAAGATCAGCTATAGAAGAACATGAGTAGAAAAAAATGCTAAATATTCACAGGACCCCCATAGTACCTTGGGAACAGGCTGTTGTACTATATTTAATTATTATTTCATATAAACTGGTATGGCTCTTACGTATTTACATTTCAGCTGCATGTTCAAATACTGCCTGAATGAGATTGTCAAGCATTCTACTCAGCAATTTAAAATATAGTTTTTCTAAAGGGAATTTCCCACTACAGCTTATTACTATCATGAATGCAATTAGAAAATTACTGCCTACAATGAGTTTGTCCCACTGCTTGCCAACTTTGCCAACCATAATCATTTAATCATTAATGGTTATTAGCAGAATTTAACTCTGGTAAGTCCATTCGAGCAATGCCAAAGTCTTACCTCATCAGGACTAGGGATAATATTTACACTGACAACCTGATCACAAAGAACAGACTCTGAGTGTATTCTGTTCAAACGACTCCTTAGTTCAGCATTCTGGTTGAGAGCCTTAAAATAATAAAATTGAATATTTAATTTCAACAGTAAATAATAGAGCCAAGCTATTTTCATATCCTATATCCTGGCCAAAGTATAGTGGTATTATATAACGTATTGGGAAGGATTCATCTTCAAAATTAACATCTCTTTGCTGATCATAAATGCTACTCCCCCAAGATTTCTTTACTTATGCATTATTGTAATTACTGTATATATTTTCCCCCAATATTTTATTACTGGTGCTATGGCTATAATGTTGGAAATTTCCTGCTAGAAATCCATAATCCCTTACACTTTAGATAAGTATGAGACCAGCATAAAATATGGAAGATCTAAGTGCACCTTTTAAACAAAGCACAGCTTGGAAGGACCAGTAGTAAAAATGGTACTCAAATCTTTCCCTGTGGAATATTTTCTTATCCAGAATAATTTCCACACTGCTTTTATACAAGAAAATTCAACAGATTTCTGTATCTGTTTCTTCTGTGAGGAAAGGAGTAAGGCATTATTTGAAAAACAGCCTATGGAGAATAGGCTATGGAGCCTATCTACCCCTTACAGTTCCAACAAAATGTGTAAGGAGACATATCAGTTTAAAAATAGTGTCTGAAATGTTTTACATCTCATTATATTTGGCTTTAAAGACTGAAACCCAATGCAAACTTCTTACCCAGAATTAGGCTTGCACCAAATTGGCTTGCACACTTATAATGCAGATACTGACTTACTTCCTTGTTTCATTAGTTTATGAAAGAAAAACTAATTCAAAGTCCCTTCCATTAAATTCTGAAGAAGGCACCCCTTCTCTATGACTACCCCTAGTCCTGAGATTTGAAAAAACCCAAGCATTTTATCCTTCTGGAAGGCTGTGAAGACCTGCCTCTTCCTCCAAACATTGGACTAGGGGGGAGGTTTAGCCTGAAGATTGAGACCTGATTCATCAGACCCCAAGAGGAAGGCTTGCTCTGTTTTTATTAGTTGTGAGTCACCTAGGTTCTCAATGTGAGAGAAGCAGCCCATATGAGTTCAATGAACAAATAAGCAAGCATGCATGCATGCATAATTTCCAATGGAAAATGATCTGAATATATATTTCTTTCTTTGGTAAGCAAAATAATAACTTAATAGAAATAATGCTTACAATGACCGCTATTTGTAACTATTTGTAACTCTTTAGTGTAAATAATACTTAAAATAATGACTGCTGCTTGTAACTCTTTAGTATACCAATACTTATTACTGATATCATCAGTCTCTCTCCCCCCTTCCTCCCTATTTATTCTCCAAATAATCATTAGCTTTTATATAATGGGATAGAAAAAAAGCAATAAACTCATGTCCTGAGTTGCCTTGTTTACTACAAATTAGAAAATACACATTTTAATATTAACTGTTTAATGTTTCGTTAAATAAGCTAGACAAGTTTGATTCTATTCAGCAGCAGAATATGATTCACTGGAACATATCGCAATGAGGGGAAAGCAGACCATGGATATTTTGGCAAATATTTTGATGATCAAAGAAAGAGAGGAGAAGATTAGTAAAGAAAAATGTGATTTCATTTGCTAACCCTGATTCTTTTCTAGTTTTAGAGATGTTTGTGTTCTTCTACAGAAAGAAACTCATAATAAGAAATGAAAACTAAGTGATCAGAGAACCATAAGATGCCAGACTGGAAGCAAAATTGTATGCCATGTTACTATGATTTTATCTTTAAACCATAATAAAATCATTACATGACAATAAAAATGCTAATTGGGTCACACTTAGATGATACTGTGACCAGAGGCAAAAGAATAACATTCTGGTAGATATGGATTATTCCATGAAATACTTTTTTTCTCCCTCACTTCTTTGCCTATTTTCATCTCTACAGAAATTGTTATACTAGGAAAGGAGATATTCTAGAATACTGGGTTTCAGGATAAGTGCTAATCAATAAACATTGTAAATAATTTCCTCCTCCTTGAGAAGGAAAAAGAATAACAAAACAGAAGAGACTATAACCAAAACTTGTATTATCTAATCATCTAATGAAAAAAAAGAAAGAATGAGGCTGGACAACTATACAACAAAAACCCTATTTGGAAATATTTTAGAAATTAATGCATGACTTCAAGTAGAAAACAGTAACAGTAAAACAAAGATGAAAGAAAAACTATAGCTGTTAACCAACCTAATATCACATTAACTTAATTGCAAATTTATATGTGGATGCAGTTAAGGCAAAACTGAGGAGAATATCAATGGGATTCTATGTGCCTTACTTCCATGCAATGGATAACTGCACTGTGTTATATTGTATTGTATTGTATTGTATTTATTACATTACTTTATTGCAAGTGCAGATTTTATTTAAACAGACTAATCAAAAGGAGGGAAGACAGGAAGTCTACACCGAAATATTTGTATTCCTCAATGGATTCCTCAATGGTACCTTATCTCTGAAATACTTTCACTTCTTTGCCTATTATCTCTGTAATACTCTTCTCAAAAAATGCTTGGCAGATATTTTCAATGTAGTTCCAAGACCAGGTCTCTTATTCTCCCAGGCAGATAAACACATTTTTGTGAATGCTTAACCACTTTTATTGCTACTATTGCTGTGCTTTAATGCTGATTAATTGTCCATGCTGTGGCAGTTCATGAATTCTTATTTTGGTTGTTGTTTTTTAATATTGGTCTTTTTTTAAAAAAATTACATTTTACTTCATTCATAGTAAGTAATGAAATAGCAATACATAGAATTGTGTGATATACTATGATCTAAATTACAAAATGAAACAAAGTCATATTAGGCAATCATACAAAAATTTGCTGCTGTCTATAAAGATATCCATTTCAGCTGATATCTAAATAGGCAGATATTAGATTAACCAAGGCAACATTAAAGCCAACACCCTTCTATTTTTCAATATGAAAGCTTTTCTTGTGATGCAATTAAAATATGTCAGATTCCCACTGAAAATTGGTAGCATAGTTTTTCAGATGTTGTAAACCTTAGGATACAATTCAGGGGTGGTAGAGGTTTCTTTGTCTTCTCCATTAAAAAAAATTGGAAACTCTTGGCCATGAGGTGTCATATTAATTTACTTAGCATCACGCCCTCCCAGCCTAATAGATTTAAGGGATACATAGGAAACAGAGACCATTACGTTAACACTTCTCCATAGCTCCCTTTACAACTTATATACATGTGAATAAGAAAAAACATTAAAGAAATGCTTGAAGTGGAACTCTAGGTATAGAAAAATAAAATTAATCAATCAAATGTTTATTGTCAATGCACAACATGTGTACAATGAAACTGAATATTAAAATTAAAAATCAGTATAAAGTCTAATATTAATATCAGTATGTTTTCCAGCAGAAACAATATTAATTGATTTATCTTATACAGTAGATTGAAAACACAAGGAAGAAATCACAGGCATTCGTTTTTTATTATGTTGCATGGAAGCATGCAAAATAATGAAAATTATTGCTTGTACTACTTTGTATTCTATTATCTACTAAAAAGTTGCTACGTGTCATGTGTAATTAGAAACTCACCCCCCCCACAAATTATAACTATTTCCAAGTCAACATTCATTTTCATATAACTTTACCTGAGAAAGTGATTGTCGGAGACGTATCATCTGTGTGTTGTGTCCTGTGAAATCATGTTCTGTTACCATCTGTTTCAGCTTTTCCTTTTCTATTGCTATACTGTTAAACGCAGACTTTAAAAGAGAATGTACTGAAGAAGAAAAAAGAACGTCTTTGAAAAACACCTCACTGTTTTTGTATGCAATTATTAAATGTAACCTAAACATTATGCATGCAGAAAAGCACTGATGGAAAACGCTACACAGATAATCCCTGACTTACAGTAGTTCATGTAATGATTGTTCAAAGTTACAATGGCACTGAAAAAAGTGACTTATGACTATTTTTCACACTTATGACCACTGCAGCATCCCCATGGTCACATGATCAAAATTCAGCTGCTTGGCAATGAGATCATATTTATGAAGGTTGCAGCATTCCAGGGTCATGTGAACCACTTCTGTGACCTTCTGACAAGCAAAGTCAATGGGGAAGCCAGATTCACTTAACAAGTACAATGATTCACTTAACAGCTGTTGCAAGAAAAGTCATAAAATGCAGCAAAACTCCCTCAACAAATGTTTTACTTAGCAACATAAAAGTTGGGCTCAATTGTGGTCATAACTCAAGGACTACCTGTATACAAAATAACCTCTTTAGAATACTTTCACAACTATCTCCCCAAAACTGAAAAGAGTTGACACAACAGCATCTCAGATATACACAGCATGAAATAATGATTTATATTCTGCTCTTGAAAATGTTTCTGCACACTATGCTCTCTCGCAGCTCCTAATGATAGATATTTCAGTGGTCACCAACCAGTCAGCCGCGACCCACTGGTGGGCTGTGGAAAAATTTTGGTGAAGAAATGGCCCCCAAAAGCAATTAATCTGGGCTGCGCAGTTCTTGTGCCTCCCGGCTCTCTGAGGGACCCCAGAGTCAGGCCCCTGAGATGCACGCGCCAACCAGCTCCTACACCTGGTGCTGGCGGCAACAGCAGTCCCCTCCCCCAGTGCCCGCTGTCAGCTCTTCCCCATTAGTTCCCTTGCTTTGAATTGTTCCCGGCTCTCTCTCTTTTCTCCCCCCACCAACGTGCAGACAGGAAAGGAAGATGGAGCCGTGCACAGCTCTCCCCTTTTCCAGCCCTTGCTGCCTCTCCCAACATCGAAGCCTCGGATCGGAAACGCAGGCAAAGTCGCCACAGCGATAGCATCCTGAGTTGCCTTAGCATGCTCGGTTAGTTAAGAATCGCCCTACCCAGAGAAGGAAGTGGTGCTGCTGGAGGAGGAGGAGGAGGCAGTAGTGGAGAAGCAAGCAACTCAGGGCGCTACCGCTGTGGCGGTTTTGCCTGCGTTTCCGAGACTTCAATGTTGGGAGAGGCAGCAAGGGCTGGAAAAGGGGAGAGCTGTGCACGGCTCCGTCTCCCTTTCCTTTCCTGCCTGCATGTGGGCAGGCGGGGGAGGAAAGAGAGAGAGCTGGGAGCAATTCAAAGCTAGAAAACTAATGGGAAGAGCTGACAGCGGGCACTGGGGAGGGGACTGTTGGTGCCACCACCGCCATGTGTGGGAGCGTGCATCTCAGGGACCTGAGCCGGGAGGCACAGGAACTGCAAGTGGGAGCATTTGATGATTTCTAAGAACTCCTGGAACACAGTAGATTGGCGTTTTGTAGGTCTCAGTGAAAGAGTGAGCTTTATTTCGTCTCCTTTCCTCCCCTGGTAATGTGAGAGATGCTTTCTCTCTCTCCCCCCGCACCCCCAAATAATCACTGGCTCTGGCTGGGTTTGGCAGTGAAGTTCTAAAGCGAGCGAAATGCCCCCAGGGTCACGTTTCCTTGCCTGTCTCCAGGTGACACTGGAAGAGCCCCCCCCCCAACTTTTCCTCGGCTGCAGATCTGAGCCTCTCAATCCTCCACCCGGGATCTGAAAGGAGCTCCCACTTTCTCCCCCTCTCCTCCCCCAATTAATCTCCAAGAGCAGCAGTCCTTCTGCAGGCAGATGCCTGCTGAAAAGCCCCTGGAGTGCCAGCCAAGGGGTGCTGCCCCCCCAAGGAGAGCAAAGCCCCCTTTCTGCCTCTGCTTCTTCCAGTGGCAGTTGCCCCGAGGCCCCTCAGCTCAGACACACACACACACACACACACACTACCCGCTCTTCTGTCTCTTTGGAAGGCGCCAGGTGGGGGAAGAGTTCCAGCCCGGAACATTTTATTTTATTATCATTAAGCATTTACATTTTTGTTATAATTAAATAAGTGTGTGTGTGTGTGTGTGTGTATATATATATATAAATTATATTTAACATAAAAAATTATATGAAATATATTAGCTTTTAAAAAAAATCATATTAGTGGTCCTCAGGATTTAAAAGTATGAGTTTGTGATCCCTGAGATCCAAAAGGTTGGCGACCCCTGGACTATTTTGCTTCTGACTTTTACTTCAATGACAGTCTCAATAAAACAAAGGCCTTTTTTAACATTTAGATTAATACTGCTGAGAGCACTGACACAGGCTTGAGAAGTTTCAAGAAAACTAGCTGCTGATCTGATGAAAAACACGCAAGTGATAACACAACTTTTATACAAGTGTAGCTTTCTACAAAAGCAATTTTGTATGTTATGGCAATAATGGCAATTTTGCATGTTAACTATAAGGATTCTTTGAAACCAATTCAAGAAGAAAAAGTCTCTTACACATCAGATTCCACTTATTTACTTTTTCACTGATGAAAAGGCCAAATAAGAAGCAGTGCCCAGTGGGATACGTGTGCACTCACCTTTCTGAGCCATGAGGCAAAACTCTTCCTGAAGTTTTATGTAGTCTGTGGGGTTTTCCAAAGGATCCGATACGTGAGTGGGTGGGGTCTGAAATTCGATGTCTGCACAAAGGTTAGGATTAGATGAATGTAGGCGAACAGGAGACATTGTAGCACTGAAAGGAACCTAAATTGAAAATCAACACATACATCACACTGACTCCATGAAAGACCAGAAAAACTTATAATACCTAAATAATTTCTTACATTATTTTAGGCTTTATATTGTAAATATTTACAAAGATTTTTTTTTTAAATTGCCATTCCGGTAGAGGGTCCTTTCTGGTTTTTATAACTAAAAGAACTCTACTCTTCTATTAACTGAACTGGAATTTAATTTTCAAAGTATTAGGTTACAATTATTTTCTTTTTGTATATCTTACGAAGTTCAAAGCATATAACCATAATTAGTATGATGTCTCCATCGCTAAAAGATGCAGTTTTTGGCTTGAGAATTAATGTATTAGGCGAATGAGCCTATCTTAGTGATTGCTATTTTTATCACTCATTCTTCTTTGTTAACTCAAATACAATTTCTAAATAGATTGGACTCTTGTATTTGTATGCACGCATACTCTTTTTATATCCATACACATGTACTATTACCATGAAAATGCTCCTTTAACATTGCTACCATGTTAATAAGTGACTGAAGGTGATTGAAAATTATATCAAGTTAGTTTTTTAAATAGCATTATGGTGCTAGTCCTGTTTGGAAATTAATTTTTTAGATATGGACACATTGTAGGACTGTATTTGACACTGTATTTAAGCAGTAGTTTACTATTATCTTAATAGTATTAATATTATAATAGTATTAATAGTAATAGTATTATCTTAAAACAGAAAGCATGCTTTAAATTATTTAAACTATGTTTAAAAAACAAAGAAATGATAAAAACAGCACCCTTTTACAAACATCACACTAAACGTGTACTAGATTGTGAAATTCACATAATAGTGCTCCATGTTTCAGAACCACATCTCATTAAAAATATAGACAAGCAGCATTTATGCAAGTGATTATAGTGTGTGAAATTCCTACAAAATGTGAATAAGCAAATCATGGAATTTCATCAAAAATCCTCACCTGGAAGCAGTCCAGCACTTTTGTTTATTTTGCAGCGAGTACCAAAGTTAGACTCCTTTCTCTCAAAACAATGCTGATACTTTTTGAACATTAATTGAAAAATTCTTATACTACTCAAGGAATACAGTTTTCAATACACACACAGAGCTAACACTTATAAAGTGCAAAAGGCAAGAGTCTTCTAAAGACAAGTGCAACAAATCACATACTGGAGGGGAAGAAATAAAATAGTGGATTTTAATCAATACCAGCTGGAATTATTCTGAAAAAGCAGATAAATGAATGGTAGCATTTTAGATATACAGTATATTACAATTCAGTTAATGATGTACACACTTAAACAGCTCAGTAAATAAAAAAAGAAAATTTTCCTAAAGAAGAATTAAGATTAATACTGAAGGAATACATCTCCAAATCACATACTATTTAGCTACAATGTTCTAGTGTCTAAATCAGTATAATTTGAAAATATTCTGTAGTATTTTTATTTACACTAGCTTTCCCCCAAATTCATGCTAATATAACGTGCTTCAATTCAATCCTCCACAACTTTGTGCATGATGGTTTTCAATAATATCTGGAGGGCATGATCAAAAACTATCCTATACAATGCTTAGAATTAAGATTCTTTGAATATCTAAAAAAGGCCCAGTGTAATATGCCATCTCACTTTGATTGTTTTCTAAAATATGTCTGCTGTATATATATTAAATGTACGTTGAATGTGTATAATTTTAATACAACACATTTGTTCAATTTTGAGATATGTTTTTAAAACCTATCCTAAATATGGTATGCAATCTGACATGCTCACACACACATAAATAACTACAATAATATACATGCTCCATGTATCGACATGCAGAATGTAAGTAAAGTTAGATGTGTAATTAACTTTATTTTAAAATTTATTCCAATTCAAATTGCTCATATAATTTAAGGACCAGGAATACTAGGAAAAATATTACAGAATATGGCCGTGAACACTTTGAACATGATACCAACAGGGTTTTAATCTCACACAGCAGCCTCTCTCTGCTGATCATTAAGGTACCCCATTTAAGTATCTTCTCTATAAGCCTGAAAATGGATGCTGCTGTTTAAGAACTGCAAGAACTTTAATGTATGGATTCACAATTAATTTCTTCACAAGACATCCTAATCACTCCTTTCTAAGAGTTTTCAAAGCCCTGTCAATCACAAAAAAAAATTACATAGTATTTTAAAATAATTTGAACAACAGCAACATAAAAAGTCACATTACTCTATATTTCAATAAGATTATTTTATTTTCCATACTATTTGAAACTGGACTGAAATAAAATTGTTAACAACTTTTCAAATCCTGGACTGAAATTCTTATTTAGCTAAACTATATTTCTGTTGAGTTTCTTTCCTCTAGGTATCTAGTTATTCTAACTGAAAGGTTAAGTTCCATTTAAGCTATTATCTGGAACCCCATTTAAATCAACTAAGTTCCAATATTTAAGCACAAATCCAGCTGAAACTGAAAAAAACAAGAGGAATTTGCAATGTTATTGTCACATGCATATAATGGATAATATTCAACTAGACATATCCTACTGTAACAACACTTTCCCAATCTTTTCCCTTGGAGAATATAGAAGAGGAACGTATGGTTACACTGACAAAGAAATCAAGATACTCTCCTGAGGTATTAGCACTGAACTGTAAATCTTTCCAGGGAAGAAATAAACTAGGATCTTCTTTTTAAAATGGAAGCAGGAAAATGTTAAAAATTCTCTTGTATAAATATGAATCATAGTTTGAATAAACTATGGGGAGAAAAAAAAACCTTATAAGACTGAGGGCTAGGGCAACACACCTTGCCTTCAAGAGGCTTTGAAAACACTTCTCCAACATCGGGAAAACATCTCTTGCAATGGCTTCCTTTGATGACAATAGGAGACAAGGACAGAAGAAGTTCACACGAAGTTAACTCATTCTCTGGAAACCTCTGGGAGAATATTTGCACTCCATAGACCCATGTTGGCAAACCTATGCCATGCATGCCGAAAATGTCACACAGAGCCATTTCCCCCGGTACGTGAGAAGTCGCCCAGAAGAGCCCCACTGTGCATGCGCGTGGGCGCCGCTGCCCGACAGGTGATTGTCAAGTATCTGGTGCACATGTGCAGGGGTGGAGGGGGTGCACGGGAGACACGTGCACATGCACAGATGTGTTACATGCAAGGGGGGAATCGTGCGTGCATGTGGATGTGCGGCACATGAGGGGGGAATCGTGCACGCATGCGCAGATGAATGGCACACGAGGGAATTGCACACGCATGCACAGAGATGCACGGTGCACGAGGGGGGATTGTGCGTGTATGGGCAGGAGGTGTTGGCACGCGAGCGTGCGCAAGCAAGCGCATGCGCAATTATCGGCACGAGAGCCGAAAAAGGTTAGCCCCACTGTCATAGACCAAACATTTATTTAGTGTATGCTCTTTCAAAAAGCTAGGATCTAAAGAGATGCAGCAGTTCCCTCATCAATAAAACAACTGCTAACATTTTCAAGATTTAAGATTTTCTTAATCTTGGAAATTTGAAATGAAGAAAATAATGATATTACCCAAGGATCAGAGAATAAGAAAAAATGCCACTTTTGAAAGCCAGCAAAGCATGCTGATACATCAAAGAGCACTTTGAATCCTTATGTTTTTGGAGGGAGGGTCAGTGACTCTGAATAAATGCAAATCATACCTGAAAAGATCTAATTAGGCCAGGAAGGAATCTATATCTACCTTAATTTTAAATATTTGTTTTTTAGCACACATATAACAGATCATTATAAAGTAAATCTTACATTTGAATGTAATTATTTAAAACCAGTTGAATATGACTATTTCAAAGCTGACCAGTTTCTAACAAATGGAAGGGAAAATAATAAATTTTATATAGTATCTACAAACTGGACCAATGGTAGAATAAAGGTGTTATAGGGTGTTCATCCTTTCCTCAAGGCCCATTTCTAATGTTTAATACATTTATAATTACCGTGTTTCTCATATAATAAGGCCGGGTCTTTTTTTTTTTTTTTTGAGCCCTGAAAAAACTGCTAGGCCATCTTTTTTGGGGTGGCTTAATTCCCCCCCTTGCATCCTCGGGCAGGTGGGTGGCAATGGCTTGGATGTTGACCTCGGCATTGGTGGGGCACTTTGTATCGGGAGACCTTCCGCGACCACTGCTTTCCCTTCTCCCCGTGCTGCCGCGGCATTTAGAACAACGCTGCGGTGTTTGGCGCAGCCATGCAGCATTTGGCGCAGCCATGCGGGGCCGGCCAGGGGTCCTTCCTGCAAATGGAGCCCAGGGGAGACACTTGGCTTCAGGCGCTCCTGTTGCCGCCTTCCTGGGCATCGTTCGAAGGCAAAGCCCATTCTTTTAAAAACAACACCCTACTACCGGTACGACAAAGCCTGCCCTGCCCAAGAGGGCAGCCCAACCCCACATGGGGAGGCGAATCTCCCGGGGCCACAGCACAAGATCAGCCCACCCCAGGAGAAGCACCCAGCCGCCATCCCTATCTGGCGCCGGGCAGAGTGCGAAGAGCTTGCCTGAACAAGAAGTCCAGCGATACGTACAATAAATGACTTTCTTAAATGTCTCAAATTTAAAATGTCCTACATATGGAAAGTTAAGGTGGGAGGAACACTTTTAAAATTTTCTTGGCATCAAACCTGGTCACTGCAGTAACTTACGGCATTAGCTGATTTTTAATTGTTACTAATATTGTTATTTTAAATAATGTCTTTTGGTAAACATACATTGCTTTTGTCATTTGTAATATTCTACTGAATTCTTTCAATTATCTAATATTTTGTATTACAGTGCTCATAATGAAATAAATGTATTTTATATATTAAGATGCTAATTAGCCACACAGTCACTTGTTACTTTAAATATCAGAAAATCTCGTTATAGAAGTCTCAAGTAGTCTAATTTTTTTGGCAATTCAGATTCATGAACTGTCTGTCCCTTGGTAGTTGCAGGACTCCTCGTAAATAAAAATTATCTTAAATTATAATTATTTTGTCTTTGAGTTATTGAATTATGTGTGTACTCTTCTACTTCCACTTATTCAAATTAACCCAACTTTATTTCATTAATTATATTGATTGGTCCTTCTCAGTGGTGGGATTCAAATATTGTTGCCACTGATTTGGTGGGTGCGCTTTGCGCACATGCACACACAGAGGTGTTTGCTCAGGCACAGAGGCGTTCTAACTCACCTCCTGCAAGCCTGCATGATCCTGGTTGCTTCAGCAGCTGCCGCGCAGCACTCTTCTGTGCCACGCAAAGCAGCTGCGCTTCAAATTCAGTGGATAAAGGTGAGTATGGGAACCTGGGCGGGCAGGTGGGCCCAACAGCAGACCCATTAGAGCAGTGGAGAGAACCAGATCAGTCTCCACTGCTCATCGCTCCTACCGGCTTTCCAGAACCAGGCAGAACTGGTCAAATACCACCACTGGTCCTTCCATTAGATGTCTTAGTTCTTTAAAAGGAAAATTAAATATTAATAATAATAGCAATAGCACTCAGACTTATATACTGCTTTACAGTACTTTACAGCCCTCTCTAAGCGGTTTAGAGTCAGCGCATTGCCCACAACAATTTGGGCCCTCATAATGGTAGTAATATGACTTTTTGAGATAGGAGCAGTGATCAAACTTACCTAATAATGTAATATAACATAACATGAAGGAATTCCCTAGTGGAGCTAGTACAGAAATCTTCTTTTCCATTAAAAGAACCAGTATGACTTAAACAACTGAACTGAGAACTAATGCTATTCAGATTTCACTGAGTTCACTCCAAAATGAGCATCAGAACTTGAATAGCCTTTTACTAACAGCCTGGGGTGTGAAAATGTGTGTGTGTGTGTGTGTGTGTGTGTGCACGCATGTGCGCAAATACAACACATGTAGGCATTTGTTAGTTTTATCATCACTCCATTTTAGCTCATTTGGATTTTTTGGAAGGGGAGTTATTTAAAAAAAAAGTGGGATAAAAAACAAGCAAATACATTTTGGATCTTTCAATCTTCAGGAGGAAAGTGGATTGAACAATTAACTAAGGTCATAATTATATTAAAACTCTTTCTAGTAAGCATCCACAGTTTAAATATATATTTATGTGTGTGTTTGTGTGTGTAGTTTTCTAGTTATACATACTATATAAATTTAATTTATATGGTATGTGTAACTCATATTGAATTTTATGAAAATCAGTTGCCTGGCTATGTATTTTTCTTTTGATTTTGTTGTTTTGGTGATATTTAAAATATCCAAGAGCAGAACAATTTTTAAAAGGGAAAAGAATAGATTTACAAGCTACATAAAATTAAATTAAAATGTCAAGGTAAGCATTAGATAAATGCTTCATATCAAATGTCAGGTATAATTTCCATTAATAGGATCAAATCAATAATCAATAATTAACTGAAACAAATGCATTAAAACTTCAAGTTAAGAGAAACCCAAATTTGGAATATGTTACAAGTCTATATATAAAATCATTATTTATAAATGTTTCCAATTTGAATTAAATTCTATATCTGATTTGCTTTTCAGGTATGAAACCTCTGTATTCTCCCACAACTTAACTTTGCTACTCTTCTAGGGAGAGAAATACATGTAGTGATTAAGCCTTTCTTTCTTTTTAGCTCACAGAATTCACTAACAGAAAAGGTGCACATACTCTGGGGTCACAAAGCCTAGGGGGCAGGGGTGGGTTTCTACCAGTTCTGTCCACCTCTGTAGAACCGGTAGCTCTGAAGAGCAGCAGACATAGAACCAGTTCTATGTCTGTTGATGTTTTTGCCCACGCACCCACCCGGGCTCTTACCTGATCTTTATTTCCTGGTTTTTCAACTTCAGCTGCCGAACGAGGCACAGCTGCAGTTAAAAAAACAAGAAATGAGGGCTGTTTCAAAGGCTGCTTCTCAGCACGGCAGCGTGCTAATGACGATTAACAGGGAAGCAGGGAAGCTCGTAAATCCTGAACTGGTAGTTAACCCTGTCGTATCCCACCCCTGCTAGGGGGGCCCTCCAAAGTCTTGGGAGCAGCCACTCCAATTGTTGCTCCTAATTACAACTTTTCCACATGTCACGGAAAAATACTAAACATATGAGGATGGAGCATGTTCATTAAACTTAATTTAGTTTACATTTAATTTAAATTGACATTTTTTCTTTCTTTCACTCCAGCCATTGGTCAGTTTGACCAATGTTGGAGGGTGTTTCCTAAAATGCCATTCAAGTTGGGCCCCCAACTAAAAAAAAATCTGACTCTTCCATAGGTGGCCATGTATAAAAAAAGTTAATTTCTGTCATGGGAGAGGTGAAGGAGAGGGAAGGAGACAGGCTACTTTTCACCAATAAAATAACCATGGTACTAGCAACAATTATTGGCAAATATAAATATATAATTTATATAACTATAACATATAACTATTATATATATATATATATGTTTTCTTAAGTTTTCATGGGTACTTACATGTATGGTATTCAGCTTTGTTCAGGTATTTTCCCACATCATTATAGTTGTGCTCTTAAAGTTGTAGCAATGTTTCCACAGAATCTCATCCGCTATCATCAAGCTTCTGTATTGTGTTCGTCAATACAGAATACAGAAGCCTGATGATGGCAGATGAGATTCTGCCGAAACATTACTACAACTATAATCATGTGGGAAAATACCCGAACAAAGCTGAATACCATACACACACACACACACACACACACACATACATACACACACATGCACACGCACACATATACACACACGTTTTCATAGATTTGCGTAGATTTTCACGGGTACAGGTATGTAGGTCTAGGTGTGTTCGGGTCTTTTCCCAAACAC